GGACTAAAATCCTGGCTTCCATACATCCTGTGATATCTTGGTTATTTAACTTCTCTGAGCCTTGGTTTTCTCATCTATAGAATGAGAATAATACTTTTCTCCCAGGATTATTATGGATATTAAATTTTTTGAAAATAAAGTTCTCAGAATTTACACAGAGAAATAAAAACATGTCTACCCAAAGACTTGTATTGTTCAAAGCAACTTTATGTATGATACCACCCCCAAGTTGGAAGCAACCCAAATGTGTCTCAACATCCAAATGGATAAACACATTGTGGTGTATCTATACAGTGAAATACCACTCACCAATAAAGGAATGAACTGCTGGTAGATGCAGTAGCAAGGATGAAACGCAAGAACACAAGGCGACAATAATCTGTAATGCCAGAAACAGATCGGTGGACAGATTGCAGCCAGGACAATGTGTGTATCAGTGGAGAGAGTTGACTGAAAACGGGCACAACTTGAACTTTTTTTTTTTCAGGTTTATGGAGATATACTTTAGTAAAAGTCACCCTTTTTTGATTTATAGTTCTGTGAATTTTGACAAAGTTATATAGCCATGTAACTGTTACCACAATCAAGATATAGAATATTACCATCACCCTTAAAATTGCCTTGTGTTCTCTTTGTAGTCAATCCCCTCCCTACATCCCCAGCCCAAGGCAACCGCTGATAAAATTTCTGTGCCTGTAGCTTTGCCTTTTCCTGACTGTTACATAAGTAGATTCATATAGCACATAACGTTTTTGTCTGGCTTCTTTCATTTAGCAGAACATGAGGATCATCCATGTTGTTTTATGTATCAATAGTTAGTTCCTTTTTATTGCCGAGTAGTATTCGGCTGAATGGATATACCACATTTGTCTGTTCACCTCTTGATAGACATTTGGATTATTTCCAGTTTGGGGGCAATTATGAATAAAGCTGCTATCAACATTCAAATACAGGTGTCTGTGTGATCATATAATGTCATCATTTCTCTTGGGTACTTAACCTAGGAGTGGGTTTGCTGGATTGTAATCGTGTGTTTTACTTCATAAGAAACTGCCAAGCTATTTTGCAAAGGACCATTTGCATTCCCACCAGAAACGTATGAGAGTTCCAGTTGTTTTGCATTCTCATCAGGACTTCATGTTGTCAGGATTTTTGTTGTTTTAAAATTTAAGCTATTCTAATAGTTGTGTGTGATACCTCATTGTGGATTTAATTTGCATTTTCCTAATGAATAGTGCTGTATCTTTTCAAGTGTCTTTTTGGCTATCTACGTCTCAACTTTATGAAAAATGTGTTCAGATCTTTGGCACATTTTTAATTGTGCCCTTTGTTTCCTTATTATTGAGTTTTGAGTGTTGTTTATATATGCTGGTTAACGGTCCCTTACCCAGGTGTGTTTTGAAAATATTTTCTCTCAGTCTGTGGTTGTCTTTTCGTTTTCCTCAGACTTTGGAAGAGCAGGATTTTTAAATTTTGATGAGATCCAATTTGTCAAATTTTTTTTTCTGCAGTTCTAAAAAGTCTTTGCCTAACCCAAGGTTAAAAAGATTTACTCCTAAGTTTTTTCTAGAATGTTTACAGTATTAGCTTTTTCATTTAGGACTTAAGTGATCATTTTGAATTAATTTTTGCATATGATATTGACATTCAGTTTTTGCATATAGATGACCAGTTATTCTAGCACTGTTTGCTGAACTTTCTCCATTGAAATTCCTTGGTATCGTTGTCAAAAACCAGTTAGTTGACCATATGTGTGGGTCTATTTCTGGATTATGTATTCTGTTCCATTAATCAATGTGACTGACATTTTGACAGTACCACAATATTTTGATTAATATAGTTTGATAGTAAGTCTTGAAATCAGCATTATTCCACTGACTAGGATCTTTAATGTAATAATGAGTAGGAAAGTGGAAAAGAGTGGATATTGTTGCCTTATTCCCAATCTTAGGGAGAAATCATTCATTCTTTCTCCATTGTATATCATGTTAGCTTTGGGTTTTTCTTAGATACTCTTCATCAGGCTAAAGAGTTTCCTTTCTATTCTTCTTTTCTTAGAATTATCACAAACTTTTTAATTTTGTCCAATGTCTTTTTTTACATATTGATATGATTAGGTAGTTTTTCTCCTTTAGTTTGCTAATACAGTGAATTACATTGATTGACTTATAAATGTTGAACCAACCTTGCATTCCTAGGATAAATCATTGTTGATCATGATGTGTTATCCTTCTGACATATTGTTGGATTTGATTTGTTAATATTTAGTTAGGAACTTTTGCATTTATGTTCATGAGGAATATTGGTCTTCTCTTGTAATGTCTTTGTCTGGTTTTGATATTAGCATAATGCTGGCCTCATAAAATGAGTTCAGAAGTGATCCCTTTCCCCTCTATGTTGTGGAAGATTTTGTGTAGAATTCTTTCTTAAGTATTAGGTATAATTTGCCAGTAAAGCCATCTGGGCTTTGAGTTTTCCTCGTGTGAAGGTTTTTAACTACAAATTCAGTTTCTCTAATAGATATAGGGATATTAAGGTTATCTTTTTTTTTAATAAGGCTTGGAATTTGTGTCTTTCAATGAATGTATTCATTTTATATAAGTTACCAAATTTATTGGCATAAGTTGTTTATAATATTCTCTTGTAAATGTCTGTAGAATCTGTATTGACGACCTTTAAAAAATTCTGTTATTGGTAGTTTCTGTCTTTTTTTTCTTGATTTATCTACCTGGAAGTTTATCAGTTTTATTGATGTTGTCAAAAAACTGGTTTTGCTCTCATTATTTTTTCCTCTACTTTTTTTCTATTTCATTACTGATTTGTTTCATAATTTCAATATTTATTTTGCTCTCATCTTTATTTCCTTCCTTCTACTTACTTTTGCTATAATTTGCACTCTTTTTTTCTCACGGTAGTAGATTTATCACTGCTTTGAGACCTTACTTCTTTTCTTACATAACCATACAATGTTGTAAATTTCCCTCTAAGTACCTGTAGCAAATTTTTATATATTGTGTTTTCATTTATTTAAAAATGTTTTCTGTTTTTTTGGAGCCTTCCTCTTTGACCCTTGGTTATTTGGGAGTATGTCATTAAATTTGCAACTACATGGGGGTTGTCCACATATCTTTCTGTTATTGGTACATAATTTAATTGTTTTCTGGTCTTAGTATACTCTTTGTATAGTTTCAGTTATTCTAAATTGTTCAAGGATTGTTTTAGGTCCCAGCATATATTCTATCTTGGTAAATGCATCTTGAAAAGAATGTATGAGGTATGATAAAAAAAATACAGTGAATTTTTACATTAAAAAAACTTACTACAGTCAAAGACACATTGCCATTAATCCTCCTCAAAATACTCCCCCTCACTTCAAACATATTTATCCCATTGTTCTTGCCTCTTGCCACTTTCTGAAGCAGGTCTGGAAGTCCTCTTTAGTGAGTGTCTTTAATTCATCCTCCATCATGACAATGCTCCATGTCACACATCGCTTCTGGTATACGTCAATTTCTGTCAAATGAAAACATTATGGTGTGTCCTCATCCACCTTATTCACCAGATCTGGCACTGTGTGACTTGTGGCTCTTCCCCAAAGTCAAAATGACCATGCAAGGAAAATATGTTGAATCAATTCAGGACATCGAGACAGCCACAACAGCTCAACTAAAGACACTCACGAAAGAGGACTTCCAGAGCTGCTTCAGAAAGTGGCAAGAATGATGGGATAATTGTGTTTGAAGCAAAGGGGAGTATTTTGAGGGTGATTAATGGTAATGTGTCTTTTACTCAAATGAATTTTCTTCTTAAACTTAAACATTCACCATATTTTTTTTATCATACCTCATATTTATTTGGTCCCTTTTTCTTAGCCTTTTATAGATTCTTCTTCCTTTGTCCATTTCTTAAATGACAACCTTCTACAAAGGTCCATTCTTAACTTTGTTTTTGACTCCCTGGACACCAAATACCACGTACTCGTATATGTTGAAGACCAACAAATCTATAACCAGCTTAGACCTGTAGTCTAAGTTCCTAGTGAGCATATCTATGTGATTGTCCTATGAGCATCCCAACCTCCATATGTCCAAAATGAATCCACTCTCTTCCTCTCCTGCAGATCTGTCTCTACCACACTGAGGAGTGTGGGTCATTACTATCCACTATACTTCTAAGCTAGAAACTTGGAACTTTCCTCATCATTCAAAGTTAACAAGTTCCTGTTGATTCCACCTCCTAATTACCTCTCAAATTGATTTTTTTTGTTTATTCCCAAGGCCTTGTGCTCAGGTTCTCCACATTTCCAAATATTCTTACAAGTCAGTCTTTTTCCTTCTAACTTATCTTCTCCACTACTGAATAGTGATTTTCCTAAAATGCAGAGCTGATCATTTTATTTCCCTATTTAAAATCACTCTTAAGGCCCTGCATTACTTTTGGAAAAAAATGCAAACATATTAGCATAATATAGTAGCCTCATCTGGGTCTGCCTCTTCCTACCTCTCCTGTACCCATTGTTTTAATCATCAGCTTGGAGTCTTCGTTCAATCATGTCCATCCACTTAACTGCCTGGAATTCTCAGAACGAACCATGTTACTTCTCTCTCACTTCTGTGCCTTTTGCACTTTCTGTTCCCTACTTGGGGCTGATACCTCTCCCCATCCCCACCCCTAACACACACCCTCTTCCTCCTTGCCTGACTGACTCCTTCTCGACCTTCAGGACTCCATTCAGGCCTCCCGTCATCTGGGAAACATTCCCTGATATCCCCTGATACCTTTCCTCCCCAGGCTAGTCTTTGTGCCTTTCTGACTTCTTCTGTGTTCTCATAGTATTCTGTGCTTTTCTCTACCATAGCAGTATTTCCCTGTACTGGAATAGTACAGCAAGTATTCAGTAACAATTTATGGAATGATCTAACAAGTCTAAACTCTGAAAATCTATTTGAATTCACAGACTAATGAATCGTATCATGTAACCGTCTACTGTTCTCTTGTAGGTGAAGATGCTGGAAGCAGATCTAGTTTCAAAAATGCTACGAGCTGTTCTACAGTCTCATAAGAATGGAATAGCATTGCCCCGGCTCCAAGGAGAGTACAGGTCCTTGACTGGAGACTGGATCCCCTTCAAGCAGTTAGGTTATCCTACGCTAGAAGCCTATCTGAGAAATGTGCCTGCAGTTGTCAGGATAGAGACCAGTAGATCTGGAGAGGTAAGGAAGTAATTGTGCATGTCAGAGGAGTCAAACCAATTCTTAACTGCCTATCTGGCACTTCTAATCCCATAACTGTGAGAGAAATCAAAGTGAAAAGTGCTGACTAAGTGGTTTGGTTTTGGTAGCGATAGGGAGAACAGCATCTAAGCACAGATTCCGATTACTTTGGTTAACCCCTCAAATTCTTTTCATTGTAGAAATAAAATTTTAACCACATTAAATAAGAAATTTTAAAATGAAAGTTTACCTAGCCTCAACATCCATACAAAATAACTGAACTGGAGCCCTTAGCTGCCTAAACATCACACCCACGCCTTACAAACCTGCTACAACTGGTTTTGCCTAAACCACTAATGACCTCCTGATTACCAAATCTAGCAGACATGTTTAAATTCTCATCATTTGACCTCACTCAAATCTGTTCCTACTATCGGATCCTAATTGGTCATTCAGCACTTATTACAGAGCCCTCCCTACTCTCCTCCCTGTCTTTAGTCCCTTTTCTCTCTAGCATGTTCTTGCCTTCACACAAATATAATCATAGTATTCTATAACTTTAAATCCTTCATTTCTTTGTAATAATATTATATATTCATATCCTCTAGAAGAATATTTTATGTATAACAGGCAATTTGGTGATAGCAAGTAAATTTTTTATTGTACATACTGTGACCCAGCAGTTTCACTTCTTGGTATCTGCCTCATGTACATACAGTATAAAAGATATAGACAAACCACCACCTAAAAGACAAAAACACCCACTCCCCACAAAACAGTACATTTTTCTAGGTACGTTTAAATATACATGTAAAGACATAGAACAGGTATGGAGTTTCTCACCAAAACTTATTATAGTTGTTCCTCTGTTTGCAGTGGGTAGGGGGAGGGAGTGGGTGGAGGAGGAAAAAGGGGCCCAGGATGAGGAGAATGGTCAAAGGGGGGGGAGGGTTCACCTAGCCTCTAATAATTTTATATGAAGAAGGTATAAGTTAGTTAAATATTACATTAATAATAAAACATTCTTCAGTGTCCCTGATTCTCCCAGACAGATTTAAGCCGTCCTTTCTGCCTATTTACACCTTGTAATACATCCACTATACTACTTGACACAGTGCTCTCTCTATTTATTCTCTTTGTCCCTTTTTCCTTCATAAGTCCCTTGAGGTTAAGAGATTTTTTCACCCCTAATAGTTGGTGCTTGATAAATATGTATTGACTGTGTATGAATGATCAAATGTCTGAATGAATTAATCAGATAATAATGCTTCATATGGTTACTAAGCTATAATTTACTCTTTATTTCTGGATTTGGGACACTTTTTAATGTTTCCAGGTTTTGACTATTAGAATAGCCCCTATTGTACATATTTGGATATGTAACTTTTTATTATTTTGAATTATACTCTTGTAACATTTTCAGGAATAGAAATTCCTGGCCAAAAAGTAGGAACATGTTTTGGCTTGTGTTGTAAAGCCTCATTGCTTTACGAAGACTTACCCGCCAGACGGGGCTTTCAAGGTCTTCATACTTCATACAATAGTCAACATACTTTTTACAAATACCCTATATGTCACACCAACTTTTTTAAAAGATAAAAAGCTGAGCTGCTGTGTTTTCAGCAGGTGCAGAGGGTCTGGGGTCTATGCTTGCCGTTCCCCACTTGCACACGCTTGCCAAAGTGAGGCTCCCCCATGGAATCCTATGGCTCCATTGAACAATGGAAAAACAGAGATCTAAGCCCTGTAAGACCCTTTTTTACAGCTGCAAATACTGAGATTAGGGAGGTAAACTGATTTGCCCGAAGTCACCCAGCTAATCTGTGCAGTGGCTAGACTAGGATTTAGTGGTCTTTGAAAGGAATACAACATAGCAGTTACATGTACGTACTTTGGATTCAGAGACATAGCCGAGCTGTGTGACTTGGGAAGTTTGCTTAACTTTTATGAGCCTCTGTTTTCCCATTGTGTAAAATGGAATAAAATATATCTCACAGATTATATGAGATAATATATGCAGCTCACCTTTGGTTCATTTGTGAATCCCATAGTATCTAGCACACTGTAGATGCTTAATAAACACCTGTTTAAGGCATAAATGAAATTTTCAATTTGAGAAAAGAAGATTATTCAGTGTGCTAGACTGTACTTGATTTCTCTTGTAGAGAATATAATTTTACTCCAACATTATTAAGGAGAGAGAGACATGAATATTTGCATACAGCTCGATTTGGGACATGGAAACTTACTAAGACCCACTTTTAAAAACTGGCCTCTGGGCACCAGTGAATCTGAGAAATGTTTCCCCTCTCACTTTGCCTCTCATGAATAGATGACATGCTATGCCGTGGCCTGCACAGAAACTGCAAGGATTGCTCAGCTTGTGGCTCGTCAGAGGAGTTCCAAAAGGAAAACTGGGAGGCAAGTCAATTGTCAGATGAGAGTAAAGAAAACCATGCCATTTTTTCTAGAAGGTAAAGACTTTTGCATGCTAAAAATTGTAAGCTTGTCTATGAATACCCTGACATACGGAATTATGGAAATATTGCTTCTATTCATGATTAACACTTGTATTTATAACTATTCATATGTCAAGGAGGCAATCCTGAAGCTGTTACTTCCATTTAAAATTAAGTGAACATGATGAGCATGACTTACTAAATGCAGTGACTACTCTGTGTGAAATAACTCAGAGTAGATTTTAATCAAGCTTATGGCAAAGTATGGTTTTATTCTTTTAGGTTATTTGAGGAAAAGCCTCATCCAGATGTTGGCTGAACCAAGAGCCTATGATTTAATGTCTCATTTTGCAAATCATGCCTTTTAGTATAAATCCTCTATTTTCAGAAAAACATGAATTATATAGTACACAAAGGTGTTATATAGGCAACTCAGCCTGTGTTTACTGAACACTCATCTCAAGAAGCTTATAATCAGTTCTAAGACTAAATTCTCAAGAAATAGTTCAATGGTAATAGAGTAAAAGCCTAAATGCCACAGCAAGTATTTTAGGTAAGGTAGCAATCATTGTGAGTGACAATGACAATGGAGGACTTTATAGAGACAGGGAAACTTGAACCCAGACCTCAAACGATGGGAAGAGTTTAAATTGATGGAGAGGAGATGAGAGGACGGAGATGTAGCTGAGCGTGCTGCCTATGTAAGAACATGAGGTAGCTGCCACCGAAGTGTTAATTGGTGAGTAGAGGGAAAGTAAATGGCTAGTCTAGGAGACGAAGCCACATTTTGAAGAGCCTCATCTGCTAACTACTCACCAATCTACTCATCCCCTACTGATCAGTCCCCCCGTGTGACAACCTCCTCATGTTCTTACACACTGTGCTGAGAGTAGACACATAGAAAACATCTGGACAGGGGAGTGACATAATGAAACTAGGATTTGGGGAAGCTAACCAATTCCAATCTGTATGTCTAACTTCATAGGAAAACCAAAAGCAACCCTCAGACAACCAGGATTTTCTTCGGATTTTTCTATCAGCAAAAAACCCAATCCCACACTGTTAAGAGACAAAGGAGACTCTCTCATAGTTAAGTGTGATGTTGAAATGTCACCTTACACATTGCACACAACTGTTGGAAGTGAAGTAGTCAAAGATGTTCCAATGCACAGGCACGTGACCCTGTCTGCCAACAACAGGTACTTGTTCTTTGTCTGACCAAAGGGAGGAGTTTGGTGAACCTAGAATAATAAATGTCAAAAATGTATGTTCAGGGAAAGAAGGAAATACTTTCTGTTTTGTCTAATGTAAGTTCATATGTAGTAGGGAAATGCAACATTACTACTAAGTACACTTTTTCTGGCTGCATGAATGTCGTTCTCTGAATATCTCCATTTGATGTTTTCTTTGCATTTTTGGTAATTTCTCCTTGTGAAATTCATTTTAAAAGGTCTTACAAGTTGTTCTAGGATTCTGTTTCAAAATAACTTACAACTTTTTCTGGACACCTTTCTTGTAATTAATTTTGTACGTTTTAAGTAAAATCTGATTGATTTATACATGGCGCTGTGCTCCAATGATCATATCCATAATTATACAGTAGCTTAATACATCCATGCATCAGACTACCAGACTGGCAGTAATGACACAACCTTAAAGTTTTCGTTTGCATGCTGCCATCCACTAGCCAGGTGAAATAAGTAAAAATATTTCATCTTTTGGAGCTGTGGTGTCCTCATTTGTCCAATGAAAATGTTAACTAGGTGATCTCAAATTTTCTTTCTGTCTCGAAATTTTATGCTTTTATAAGGTAACGCAAGCCAGCAAACTATGACCCATGGGCCAAATCAAGCCCATTGCCTGTTTTCTAAATAAAGTTTTATAGGAACACAGCCACGTCCCTTAGTTTATATATTGTCTGTGGTTGCTTTTGCACAACTGCAGAGCTGAGGAGGAGTACAGAGACAGTATACAGCCTGGAAAGCTTAAAATATGTACTAGTAGACTCTTTACAGAAAACATTTGCTAACTCCTGATGTAGATGAATCAGTATCAAATGCAGTTATCTATTTGTGCCTTTATAAAACACATTTTGTTTTACCAAATGCCTTTAGTGTTCAAAAATTTTATTTTGTGTGAAAGATAATTTCTCTAGTCCACCCACTCCAACAAGCACCTCCCCCATACTAGAATACCTAGAAAGAATTAATTTTTTAAGTTTGGCAAAATATTAATTTTTATATTTTGGTATTTTTTATAAAGCAACCCTTAAGTATTTGCCATAATGGTATATATTTAATGTTTTTATGGTTATTATAATTTTGATAGGTCTAGAAAATACATGTTTAAAACTTGGATCTTAACCCAAAGCATTTGTTGGGCCTAGTGTATGACTGAGGCACAATTTTCTCCTCTGGTTACATACCGAAATTTTAAAATCCTACTTGAATTAAATCTATAAAGTTATAGCAAAATTAGACATCCTGGACTGTGGATCCAGAGGGGAGTATTCCCCACCCCACAATCTAGTGTCTCCTACCCCTCACCTAGTGGCACTGAGCGGCCCAGTTAAGTGTCCCATATCAGCAGGTAGCACCGGCAGTGATTGAGTGGGGGGGCCCCACAAGTAGCCTAAATAGCAGACCCAAGATGGTGCTTTCGGACCTGCAGCCTCATGTGCTTCTACCCCTCCCACCTAGCAGCACCAGGCCCAGGGAAGTGCATTCTGCTTCCATGGGCATCCTCTTCAGAGATCACATAGGAGCCCCAGCAGCAACAGATGTATGTACCAGACCAGAGTAGTACCACAAGGGCTCTGAAAACTAAATTATCAGTGTAACCACAGCCTACAAAACTGGGCCAGGAGCTATGCGCTAAACCTAAACAGGGTAAATGTCTGCTAAAATAAGACATTTAAATAGGATTCACACTCTCCTAATACATGTACAAATGTCTAGGATACAAAAAAAAATCACTTGTTACACTAAGAATCAGGAAAATGACAACTTGAATGAGAAGAAACAATCAACAGATACCAACACCAGTATGAATCAAGTGTTGTAATTATCTGACAAGGATTTTAAGGCAGCTGTCATAAAAATGCTTCCAGAGCATTTTTTGAAAAAATAGAAAATAGAAAATTCACCAAAGAAATAGAACATAGAAGAAAAGAACCAAGTGGAATCTATAGTACTGAAAAATGCAACACTGAAATAAAAAATGCACTGGATGAGCTCAGTAGCAAAAGGAATATGACAGAAGAAAGAATCTATAAACTTGAAGATAGAAAAATAGAAATTACCCAATCTGAAACAGCAAACAGACTTCAAAAAATCAAACCAAAACAAAACAAAAAAATAGCTTGCAGAGCCTGAGGGGCGTATGGGGAAAAAAACTAGCAGAGCCTTAGGGACCTATGGGAGAAATAAGAAAGATCTAATATTTGTATTATCAGAGTGTTAGAAGGAGAAGAGAAAATGGGGCTTAAATGAGTATTTGAAGGCACAATGGCTGAAAACTTCTTAAGTTTGGCAGGACATAAACCTACAGATTTAAGAAGCTTAGAGAACCCCAAAGAGGATGAATTGAAGGAAACCCACACTGAGATACCTCATAACTAAACTTCTGAAAACTAATGACAAAAAAAAATCTTGAAAACAGGCAGAGAGAAATGACATATCACCTATAGTGGAATATCAATTTTAATGACAGTGGATTTCTTATTCACAACAGTGGGGGAAGAAAATGGCACATTTTTCTGGTACTGAAAGAAAAAAACTGTCAACCACAAATTGTATATCATTCTATTTATTCTTAACAACAGTCACTCTCCCTTGCATGTACCAACCACTGCCCTAGGCACTGGGAACGCAGGTAATTAAGACACTTGGAGTCTAGTGAGGGAGACAGACATGAACACAAATTATTTCTGTGTGTGTGTGTGATTTATTTCTTTGTCCTCATATTTGGAAAAATCTATGTATATCCAATATAATTTATATAAAATTATTTTGGTGAGCATGTGAGGTGGGGAATCTATGTTTATTTTTTTCTAAGGAGTTATTTGAGCAATCTCCTGTCTGGTTCGAAATATCACTTTTATCATGTGCTAAGCTATAATGTAAATTGAGTGTTTCTAACCTCTCTACCATTTTACTTACCTGTCCCACTATTTTAAATGTTGTAACTTTATAATACATTTCAGCAATATCTGGTGATAAAAGTCCTTAATTTTTTAGTTATAGTCCAAAATAGTTTCTATGTTCAACTCTTTATTCTTTGCAAGGTTTTCTTTATTTTGTATTGCTTGTTCCTTAAAGGTGAGTTATTGGAACTCTAACTTCCAAGTTCTTTTAAAGTCCTGGTTTAACTTTAGCTTTTAATATATTTTTCTCTGGGTGCATATGAATCATGAAAGCTGATTCCAGGTATATTTTCATTTTTGCTTGTTTTGAAATATTTTAATGACTTGTTTTGCTGTTCAGTGCCACAGAAACTGTAAATGAAAAGTATAGTGTTTTAAAACTTGGTATTTACTTTGCTATTTGAATTTTAATTTACTTTTTTTTAATACCTTAGGTTTAGCCCAAAGGTATCCCTTCCACCACCTTTTCAGATGCCTCCCTCAAGAACCTGTACTAAGGAAATGAGTGGTATGTTTTCTAAACATTAGCTTCATGATACATTTTGGCTTCAGGAGCCTCAGAGCCCCAAGAAAAATATCCGGTGGTGGCTTTTGACACTCACTCTCACCACCTCCTACTTGAAGTATGTCTTTCCCAATTTTAAGTTATGAATTGAAATGATCTAAAGAGAAAATAAATAATACCTCCAAACATATTATTATTCTGACTTGAGGACTTCCTCAAAACAGATGTATTCTGTTTTATTTCCGCATGTCACCTGCAGAGATACTTGTGTCCCTTGTTACCCTGTCACTCATTAGAGGTTAAGATTGAGAGTACATAAATGTGGGACCTAAACTCATAAAGTAATTTCACATACTTGACCATGTAAAATCTGGAACCCTAAACTGTGTAGTGACCACTAATCATTTAAATATGAATATAAATGATTGCTCAGGTTATACAATCCAAAAGGGCTGTTAAAGAAAACGGAGATATAATAAAATCAAAGAATCGGAAGATTAGAAATGCATCCATTCTCATCTTGTCTCCTCCAATCAAAGTGTAAATCCCCTAAGGGACACAGTGTTTTCAGAATTAGCACTTAGGTTGCATGAAATTAAAATGTGATGTTAAATGATTTGCTGCTTTAAGTCTGATTCTTACTGAATTGAAGTCATTTTTCCATATCTCCATTATTTCTTATAGAAATTAATTGAACAATATGATTCTTTGTTTATATCAATTACTTTTACATATGCATTTTCTGAAATATAGCCGTGTTTCAGTAAAGTTGTATACCCTTTGGAGGCTGTAAATCCTTTTAAACATTTTTAGCAGAACAAAGAGGACTTGTTTCAGGAGGATTACAATTCACATGACAGCTGATATGCACCCATTATTTCCTTTTGGATTTTATAACCTGAGGAATCATTTATATCCATATTTAGATACTTAGTGATCCTTGCACACAGTTTAGGGTCCCAGCTTTTAAATGGAGTGTCTGAAATGATCTTATAAGTTTAAGCCCCGTACTTATGTATTTTAAATCTTACCCTCTAATGAGTGAGAGGGTGACAATGGACAAAGTATCTCTGCAGGGGCACACTTATACACAGCCTCTTCTACCTGCTGGCAGCCTAGATTACTTTCTTGATTTGTTTAACAAAAGGTACAGAAGCTTAGGTGACTCCAGTGGCCCCGCAGGGCAGGTGCACTTGCCTGTGTGCATCAGCTGTTGACACTCTCTTCAGGTGGCGTGTGGATGGCCACTCCTGAGAAACTCATCTTTTTCTTTCTCCTAGTCCTTTTATATCATTAGTGAGGAAGAACTTAAATAAGTCAGTTCTTCCTTTAGTAGGAAACATATATGGACATCCTGGGCCCTTCTGTTCACTGAGCCAAACTAAGTCTCAGCAAGGCCAGGCCTCGTACCCTGTCAGCATCCAGCCATCCTCAAGGAACAGCTCTGGTGTCTTGGCCTCCTCAGAGGCCAGTGCGCCCAAACCACAGCCTGTGTGTCTATACCAGCCAGTTCAAAATAAATGAAAAATGGTTGAATTCGAGAAAAAATCCTATATGATTAAAATATGAATGTATTTTACTTGTAGTTGGTAATTTTTAATATACTCTGATCTGTATCCTAGTGAAATTTAGAAAAGATTTGGAATGAATTTCATAGTTTTTAAAATACCAGAACTGTCTAGTTATAGTGAACACTTAAATTTTGTATTTTAGGATGTTAACTCAGGCATTCTAAGTTTTAAATAAAAAATAAATGTGAGTAAGAGAGCTAGTCAGCACTTTATAAATATTCGCTCATGAAAGATAAATAATTTGAATTGGGGAAATAAAAACAAATCACGGATAGTTACCTGTGTGCTTCAAACTTTTTTATGTTTATAAACTGAGGCTAGGATGAGTATTGTAGGTGGATCATTTTTTGAACTTCATTGTATTGCTAAATTATTTTTCTCGTTAATAAAAGGGAAAATTGATCATATCCTAAAACCTGGACAATTTTTTGCTTTCTATAAAATGTTCTTCGATCAAATTAGTAAGGCATTATCCTCATGCTTTGTAGAATATAGCTTTAAATTCAGCATTGCACATATACCATTATCTAAAATTTAACCTTTCTTAGTTGCAGTTAAGAATTATTGATTTAAAAGAAAAAAGAAAAAAAAGAAATAAACAAAAAAATTACTGATTAAATAATAAATTTCATTATTTTTTATGAAGCAAGATCATTCTTAAGTTTAAATTAAACTATGAAGCACCCTTGCAAAATAAAAGGGCTAGGTTTTCTCTGTGGGTGGTGGTGGTGACTCTGCTGGTTATTTCAGGGTTAAAAATAGAATGAAGTTGTCTTGGTCCTGCTTTGCCCAATCTGGTTCCCTTCTAAACCCCTTGACCCCCACAAGCAAGAAGTAGAACAAAGCCTAATGACACAAACATTAGGTAAATAAGGATAATCTACATTGTTAAGCATTTTGGTTAATTCTATCATTTTTTTTTAATTTAAAGATAATTTAAATCAGAATGTTGAAAAATCAAACGTCACACCTCCTGCCTCTTGCACTTATAAAATGGATGAGGTTCAAAACCGCATAAAGGAAATACTAAATAAGCATAACAATGGCATTTGGATATCAAAGCTTCCACATTTTTACAAAGAATTATATAAAGAAGAACTTAATCCCGGAATTATACAACAATTTGAGCACTGGCCTCATATTTGCACAGTAAGTTTTTCCTTATTTCTCCCTCCTGATGCCCCCTCCCTTCCCCACTTTCAGATTCTGAGTATGATTCTTACTGAGTTGAACTCATTTTTTTTCCATAAGAACACTTCTCCAGGTGTTCTCCATGGCATTAGTCATATCACCTTTTATCCAGAGAGCATAAATCACTTCACTTCATAATATGGCTTCATTAATCTTTATCTCTAAGATTAACACATATAGGTTCTTATTTATAGGAGAAGTGTGTCAAGGATTGAGGGCTGCATGTGTTATAATTGCTGTTTTTATATGTTTTGTTTTAAATTATTTTTAATATGTGATAATATGTATACCATTTTGTATTGAACTACCAATAGACACTGATAGCTTTACCATTTTAATAATGAACTTACTGGTAATAAAACTTTTTTTATTTGCCTCAAATTTTGTCCGCTTGTTCCTGAGCATTTTTAAAGACATTCAGCTGAACAAATTTTAGCTATTTTGTTATACGCGTATATTATACTACAAATATAGCTAATATAACTATATATATTCTATATAACTATACTAATATATGTAAAGCTAATATAACTAATATGTATCTAAATATGTAATATAGTTTGTTATAGTTTAGTTATTTTAATAATTTATATAGTAGCTTATTTTTAATTTAAAATTAATACAGTTTTCAGATTTAAAATTTTTATAAACTTCTTTGGAGAAAAAATTAGAAAGTGAGCTGACATCAATTTCAATACCTATTCCTACTTGAGAATCTATTATTATAATAAAATGATGGATCAGAATGGTTTATTTCGAAATCTTAGTTTAGCCAGAGATTAAGACAAATAGATTCTTAAACCAAAGTAACTTTTAGATGTTTTTTAATGTTTTATTTACATAGAACATATTTAACAATGTAACTATTTTAAATGGTAGCAATAGTAACTACTTGGTGCTTCTAAGCTTGTAGAATTAAATATGCAAGACGATTAGTGCCTGTTAGATGGCTTTCATTTCTTTAATATACATTTTGGCCCCAAACCCTGTCGGGCAAAATGTAGGCCACTCCCTTTTTATAAGCACCTGGCCTAAAAACAGCATATATTTTTGTAACCACTCTTTTTCTCTAGGTCATGACACCCACTGGAGTCCCATGTGCTTTCCAGGCAACAGTCATTCACTCATCCATCATCATGTTTGTTCATTACACCATTAATTGTGTACCTGCGGGTACCAGTCACTGCCTTAGGTGCTAAGAACATGGTACAGCAATGTGACATGTTAGAATACACAGCGTAAAGTGGGAAAACAAGAAGAAATATAAAACTCTGGAAATATGGCTATATCCCTACTTATAGTCAAGAATGTTTAACGAACATAAGAATGTTACCCCTGATTTATGTGGAATGTGGAGTTTATTCTTATAATAGGAATTCCCAAGGTTGCTATTCAATTCACTTTATTTTTACTCCTTTCTGAGAAGAATTTTCTCACTGGATGCAGGTTTGGCAGCACTGATGTACCCCCTCCTCAGACTTCCCTAATCTGAGTGAACTTTTGAGGTTACCAAGGGTGCTCAATTTGAAGGTTCAGGGCTTGGAGGTCCTTCTTGGAATGCATATGGTTTTATTTTTTAAATCCATAGACAATCATGAACTTATAGTGTATCTTCAACAGAGCCTTTTATTTTAATCATCAAGATACACATATAACTCATTAAGCTTTGATAGATGTCTTTGGAGTAAAAATTTCAAAAATTAACTTCAGAAGTTCTTAATCTATTATGTTTCTTTTTATTTTATACTCCACAATGCTATTTGTGGAGCTTAATTTATGGCTTTTTGGGGAAAACATTCATCTTTGCTACTCTACATGTCCACAAAGCCCCAGAATTTCTCTTGCTAAGATTGTAGGTGAGAGAGTATCTCTTTAATGTGAAAACTTTACCTGAAATAAGTGGCTTCCTACTAAATTTTAGTTGCTGAAACGACTGACTTTATTTTTTGGTTGCTTTTTTTAGCGCTCATATTCACTTTGGTGCATGATTATTTTCTGTTCAGTAGTGAGGGTGGAACATAAAGCAGAAATATAATATGCCTTTTTTATTTATATACTATGTCTCTCCACTTTGAGTAGGACTGTTTAAATGCAATCACTATCAATCGTTAGGTATGATCATTTGTGTCTAGGATGCCAAAAACTGCCAATCTTCTTGATGTCTGTCGGTATTTTTTAAAAAAAAGTATTTTAAATCTCTGAATTTTAAAATAAAGGTTTAAAAAAACTTTTTTTTTAACAGCCTTCTGGTAAACAGTTTTAAACAGTGGCACTATGGTTATTTTTATCCAGTTTTTAAACAGTTACACATGGTTAGTTTCCCTTTGTTCTGAGTTCTTGCTTTTCACCTTGTTGAAAAGCAGAAACACTGATAGCATGTCCAGGCTGATGCAACTATAAGCAAGGTCAGACGATTTCAAACACAGTACAGAAAATTTAGGGTAAGAAAAGAAAGACTTTGTAATGTGTCTCTCTCTAAATGGTTTGTTGAGTAGCTGAAGAAGAAATCCAAGTGCAGTATACTTCTTTCTTTTAAAAAAAGTGCTTTCCCCCTAATCACATAAAACAGCCTATATAAAAAAGATTGAAAAATAAAATTAAAAGAAATAAGAATTTCCCATTGTTCTACCACCCAGAAATAAGTACTTGTGGGATTTCTATTCGAATATCAGAATGGGCAGCGTCAGCTTCAGGGACCTACTAGCAGCTCTGAAATTTTACCTTCATGGAGGTTCTAGTCAGCTGTATGCTATAAGCTACTTCACAAGGATGTTAGATGACATTTTGATGCATGTAGAAGGATGCTTTGAATCTGTTGTTCTTAACCTTTTGGATCTCTCCAACAACAAAATGTGGACTGAGAGTTTGGAAAGCTAAAGAGAATATAGAGTCATGCTAACAATGATGAACCACTTTCATAATAATCTTAGGCAACCTGTGAGGGAAATGGAAAGTGTGCAGAAGCTGTGTTAGGAAAGGCAAGGAGCCCACGATGTAGCAAGCCTCTAGAGGCCATGGATACTGGAATCTAAGAGTTCTTTTCACTGGATCCTCGGAGGACAGCAACACCTCTTGGGGTTGGATTACTAAAGAAGTGAAAATCAATCAAACAGCAGTGATGCGTTCTCAGGCTTAATGGTACAGATATAACCTAGATAGCAATGCCAGCAGAAACAGCAGGGGAAAGTAAACCGAGGACTTGAAAATACGGTCATGGTATCTAATTGGAATCCAATTTCTTTTCTGATTTTTCACCAGTTTAAAAAAAATATTCAATGAACACACTGGAACAGTTATTAAATGTAATTTCTGTGAACACCTGAATAGGAGAAAGATAGACTGGCACAGTGGCGAAATCAGAATAAAGAAGTTGGGAAGGAATATGGTGTTGCTGTCCTGGATCTTGAAGCAGAGAAAGTACCCAGAGGGCCCTGCAGCACAGTAGAAAGAGTTTGGCCTTTGAAGCTAGATTTTTTCCTTGCCATTTATTAGCTGTATTATTTTCAGCATACAAATCCTCCTCTCAGGGCCTCAATCTGCTCTAAAATAGGACTATTTCTACCCATCTCAGAGGGTTGTTAGAATTAAATGAGACCAACTTTAAAAAGCAGCTGCCGGGCCGGCCGAGTGGCGCGATGGTTAAGAACTCGCTTGGGATGCCAGAGGGCCCCGGTTCGGATCCCACATATGAGGGCCAGTAACACTGCCCTCCACAGCTAAGATGCTGAACAACAGCTCAACCTGGAGCTGGGCTGCCGTGAGTCGCTGGTGACGGCGTGGGCTGCAGTCCCTGTGGCAGTGGATTGCCATGGGCTACCATGGGCTACTGTGTGTGGTGAGCGGCCAGCAGCCGCAGTGAGCGGCCGTCCAGAAGCCGGTGACTGATCTGCTCGCCCGGGAAGAGAGCAATGATGGTGCCAACTTGGGCCAGTGAAGCAACGTCCTCCACAACTAGATTGAAGAACAAAACGACAGCAACTTGTCTGTTCCCCTGCCCCCAATTCCCCAGCACTGTTCCCATCCCCCCAATTCCCCAATAAAAATCTTTAAAAAAAAAAAAAAGCAGCTGCCAGTTACAGTATCAGAAACATAACAAGCATTTAGGAAAAGGCAGTTGTTATTTTTTGAGGGGTAGCCCAGCTTCAATTAAACAGCAGGTTAAAACCCACTGGAAAACCAGAGACATGCCCAGCAAGCTTTACAAAGGAACTTATCTCAATGAAAACAGAGGAAAGAGGGAAGAACAAAAGTTTAAGTAAAAAAATAATAAGGCACAGTGAGCGACTGAAGTCAAAGGACTTGAAACTCCTGATGAGGTGAAGTTCCTGCCATCTTAGAGGAACAGATCACCCCCGCCCACTGCAGGCTGAAGGTAATGAGAGCAGACCTAGAGTACCTACTTAGCCTAGAATGCACAGTGACAGCCACAGCTGGCCAAGATCACCCCCCAGAGCTCTGCACACATTTAACCAGAAGACTCCATTGTCTTCCTGAAGGAACCTGTGAGCAAGGGACTAACCTTGGGCCATGCTGAAAGAAAATGACTTGAAGTTTTCCTAATATAAATAGTTATAGTCAGCATCAGTGAAAAGTCCTTACTTGGAAAAGGGGTGGGAGTGAAAGGGAGTATGAGCCTTGAAATATATAGAGTGTACAAAACTACTAATCTAAGATAGTGGAGCAAGAGTTTTCTCTGGGTAGATGGTTTGTAAACAGGAGTTAGCCTCTACAAGGAACATTTACCTTTACTTTTGATTAAATCTCTGTAGAATGTGCCATAAACAGTTGTAGTTTCTTAAACAAAAGCAGCTAAAAAATTATAACCCTTTGTGAATACCTAGGGCTCAGCATCACTAACATCAGTAAACTGCTGCAGAGAGGCTGTACTGTCTTGGTTTTGTATTGAGTGGTGATCATATAAAATGAAATTTAGAACTTAATTTAGAGCTGCAGCACAAAGAACCACTACCGAATGGAAATGAAACTGTGGCTCCATGAGACCCATACAATTGCTTTGGAAAACTCTTTGATTTAATTGGACAATACCAATTCTGTTATAGAATCCCAAAGGAAATTCCAATTCCATACGAGACAGTAAGTTTACTTCAGTGGCCCATGCTGCAGTTAGAAAGTCAGCCTTCATAGACTCAAAGGAATTTGGCTTCAAGAACTTTAAGTTTACAGCACAGGTAAATTAGAAAGGAAGACGCTAAGATCTCTTAGAATTAAGGAGAAGAAAGTTTTCTGGGTATATAGAATGAAGACTTTTGTGTGTGAACACACAGGGTTTCTGAAGAAGTTGATGTCTTAAGTCCTTGAGTCTCACATCTCTCAAACCTAATCTGTCTGCTCTAAACTTACAAAAACCCAGAGAGGTGTGAGAGAAGTATCTCATTCAAGTTGTGATTCCAAATGAGGCAGAAATCAAGCTAAATATAATGGACTTGTAGGGATAGAAAGTGTAAGGCATATTAGAATTTCTGATGATCGCCGAAGGAGATGGCTTGAACTTCATGGTGTAGGTAATCTTTTATGTTACCTACCTGTCTCTCCTCTTGGGAGGTAGAGGTGAGGGTCCATACACAATAAATATACGGGGTTCCAGGTCATGCCAGTTCCCAGTCATTGGACTAGTGACTTTTGGGATGGATATCCAAAACCTAAGAAAAAATGTAGAGTCATAAATCAAAGGAAACATGGAGAAAAAGGGGAGGATTGTGTCTTCTACACGACAGGAGGCCTTCTACAGAGAATATGAGACCTTTTGACCCCCTCCTCAGGTATATGCCTGAATCAGGTATACTAAAGAAACTAGAAACTATGTAAGCATGCTCTTGAGAAGTCCAGCTGAAATGATTAGCAGCTGATTATCACAGGAAGAAACAATAAAAGCCATGTTTCAAGTAGCGATTGACTTACCTCAGTCATTTGCAAAGGCCAGAAGACAGCTGTTCTATCTTGGGGGATGAGACAGGAGATCAACATGTAAATCTGGTCAGATGTACCAGGGCACAATGAAGGATAGACACTGTGCTGTAACCCACATTATAGCAATTCCTTACCTGTGGGAGACTGTTGTAGGCTGGGGATAAATATAGTAGTAGGTCTCTTTCCTAAGTCCATTTACCAGAAAATTGAAGAGAGACAAAGACACATTTTGTGGATGACAGATGATAATCACAGATGAATGCCTGGGAAAAGCAAATTCTCGTTCATATGAAAAATTTTAAAACAGAGTTTAAGTTGAAAAAAATTACATTTCTTTTAAATTGTATTTTTAACTCTAAACAATATGAAATTCATGATTTTTTTCCCCTTTGAGCCATTCTCCAAAGATTGGTTAATGAAGTGTGTGGACCAGGCATATTTTCCACATCACTGAATTTATCTATGAATATGCCCGTATTTGCCTAACGTATTGAACGACATACGAGTCAACTCCATTTAGTGTCAGATTCAGTTCCTAAAGTCAAGCCTATGTTTAATCTTAGTAAATGCTAATTTGAATTTAAAGAGGCCAAATCACTGGAAAACAAAATGGAATTTAGACTCATAACCAGTCCTCTTGAGATCAAGAAGAAGCATATTGGAAAGTGCCTATAATCCAAGAAACTGGTCATTTGGAGATGGAGGGTGGCTATCTACCTCAAACAACACAAATGAAACTGCCGAGGAAAGAAATCTGTTTTCTAGTTCAGGTGATTATTTGGCTATTGTTTGGACTTTGGATAAACTCAGACTTATTGGTCAAAAATATACTTTATAGACTGACTGGCAAAGCTCAACTTAAATGCTGCAGACACACAGCTCTGGAAGCTTACATTTCAGAAGGCTGTAAATACTAACTTCAGCCTCATCAGAGGTCAAGAAACTTTTTTGTAAAAGGCCAGATAGTAAATTTTTAAGGCTTTGCCAGCAGAGAGCTATGACTGCCACGACAGTCTAGCACAGGGGTCGGCAAACTTTTGAGACAGAAGAGCCAATCCTGCCCCTCACAACAATTTAAAAATTATTTGAGAGCCACAAAACAAATGAAATCACCATTATGTGAATAATATCCTTTAAAAATTTTATAAGTGAAACTATGATAGTTTTATTTTCATTTTCAATTTTACTTCAGAACTACATGTACATACCCAAAGAGCCGCATGTGGCTCGCGAGCCGCAGTTTGCCGACCCCAGTCTAACACAACTACTCAACTCTGCTGTTGCAGGACAAAAGCAAGAGCTAAACAAATGACATGGCTGTGTTCCATACATACATACATGCATGCATGCATGCATGCATGCATACATACATGCATGCATGCATGCCTTTATACTGAATTTCATTTAATTATCACATCACAAAATAATTAAAAAATTTTTTTCCCACTATTTAAAAATATAAAAATCATTCTTAACTCATGTGCTATGCTAAAACAGGTGGCGAGCTGCATTGGACTGGGGCTTGTAGTTTTGCTGAATCCTCATCTAGTAGTAGAAAGTCTTAGAACTTGGAAAAAGTGGTGCCGTCAGTTTCTCTTCAGTTTCTTCTCTTCTATAGAGATGCCATCATGCCATGCCCCTCAGCAACGTTATCAGATAAAGTTAGAGACTAGATGACTTACAAATGCCAGGCATTTTTAACCCTTGTTTATTGGAGGGGCAATGCTTTCAGCGAACTTTCTACTATAGTGGTTGTAAAAACTGTACCTTCACTCGAGTGTTTTTTTCTAAAAAATGGAAAGCTGAGGGTTTTCTCAGGATATTGCAGAAAGAAGAGAGACAGCACTTCATTTTCATCTAAATATTTCCTAGCTTGCTTCCCAGTGGTTTATTCCTGACAGTTTTGATACTTTTCACAGCTTTTTTCCACCTTGTTTTCAGTTTTGTAAGCTGTTGCTTTGGATCTGACAAAGAGAACTAAATGAGACGTGCAGTGGACAGGACGGAGCCACTCATTGTTTCCTTGGGTTGTTGAAGGCTAGATACCTCACAAGAGAAATTAATACTATTTTATTTCCATTTATTTCTGAAATGTGGCTCATGATGTTTATTTGTAGGTGAAAGCAATGCATTAAAATCTTAGTAGTTGAGAAGAGTGAAATGCCCACTTGTGTTCTATTGATTAATTGGAAAATAGTGTTGCTGTCAAATTCAAAATGCATTAATGTGTTTTAAGGTTGTTTATAGTCATTGAATTATCTGTCATTGGCTTCATTTAAAATTTTCAGGTGGAAAAACCTTGCAGTGGTGGGCAAGATTTGCTTCTTTATCCAGCTAAGAGAAAGCAGCTTTTGAGAAGTGAACTGGATGCTGATAAAGTGCCTTCATCCCCACCTGCTCCAAAACAAGTAACACCATTGAAAGGATGTCCAGCGGTTATGCCAGGAGACTTGAAAGAGAAAGTTGCAGAGCTGCTGGGGAAATACTCAAGCGGTCTTTGGGCCAGTGCACTCCCAAAAGCATTTGAGGACATGTACAAAGTGAAATTCCCTAAGAATGCCTTAAAAAATCTTGCCTTGCTTTCTGATGTATGCACCATAGACTACATTTCTGGAAATCCTCAGAAGGCCATTCTCTATGCTAAACTTCCATTGCCCGCTGACAAAATCCTGAAGGATGCAGAGCAAGCACATGGCGATCAGGATATCAAGGCTATGGTTGAACAAGAATATTTGCAGATAGAAAGGAATTTTGCCGAAAGTGCTGATACCATTATGGATAATGTAACAGTTCCTCCGTTAATCATCCCAACTGAGGCATCCCCATCTGTATTGGTGGTTGAACTGAGCAACACAAATGAAGTGGTTATCAGGCAAGTTTTATTTTCTGATTCTTTAAGATCCTGGTATACTGTTGTACTTAGCTATTCTTCACATGGGTCCTGGGGGTTGAGGAAGAATAATATATTCTAAGTGCTAATAGAGCTATAATGAAGTATAATAATATATTCCTCTTTTTTTATATCTTGATCATTTCTCTCAACTGCCAGAACTTTTTTTTGTCTGTATCTCTTACGAGATTAAATTTATGTTTCTTATAACTATAAATTTATAGTTGTATAAGTACAGTTGACTCTCCCAGTAGATGGTAAACATCTTGAAATCAAAGTACTTAAATAATTAATCTCTACATATATTCTTAATATTTGTTAAATGTTCAAAATATACAATGATTCTTGTGAGAAAATATTACTAATGGTTTTAAAAATTGGAATGACCATATGGTCTGAACTTGAAAAAAAAAACTACACCAGAAGCATAATGGTAACTATATACAAGTACGTCAAAAGCAATACCTAGCCCATAGAAAAAGCAAGTGCCCAGGAGGTAGTTAATTCTATTTAATCTGGGACTCTGTGGCATCTCCTAAAGGTTGAAATAGCTAAACACCACCTTCCTAGTATCATACATCAGATTATGAGTAGACCTTGGACCCAAAGGCGGTCTGGTTCTTGCGCCTTTTGATACCGTTGCCTGGGAGGAGGAGTCATTGCCCAAGTGGCTGATGATAACTGGAATTATAAAAAAAACAGAGCAGCTCCAGGCACTTGACATGAACTTTTGGAGAAAATATAAAGTACACAGAAAATACTGAAAGACTATAATGTGAAGATTCCGACTCAGAATAAAAATGGGAACCGGTATAGCTGGATCTCTATAGGCACCAGCTTAGGGTATGACTGTGGCTGAACAAAATAGGAGAAGGCTGAAGCAGAACAGAATCCAGACTTCTTCAACTAAAATGTCCTTATGGTTTGGGCTGTTATTCCCCCAGAGAATCATGGCTGAGCTGGGAAGGTCCAAAGCAAGATGACAAAAATAAATCCTTCAATGAAAGAATAGATAAAAAATATTAAGCTCTTCTATGTCAACAATCAAGTCTGAATGGATAATGAAATGAGAATCAAGTATCTTGGGTCGCTCAAACTAGAAGGATGTATAGAAACTTTAGAGAGGTCTTGTTTTATACAGGGGTAGCAACTATATAAAGCTTTTATTCTAAGATGTGGTATGGCCTGAAGAAATAAATAGCTGGCTAAGGGTTAAGGGTCCCACTATGGTTCACTAATAAATTCAGGTAAAGGAAGGTTGATGAGCCCATTGGTAACTTTTACCACTTGACATTATAAATAAAAAGAGAATCAAAGTCTGCCTTGTTGGCAGGATCCTTTGGTATCTGTTACCAATAGTCCTTGGTCACATCGTCAGAGACTAAGCATCCCACACTAGCCTGGTCAATCATGTCTTTTCTGATGTTCTTACCAAAGGGTTGGCAGGAGCCTGGATCAGTTCTAGGACTTCAGTACAAGGGTTCCAGTGTATTCCAGGATGAGTAGGATCAGGGTCCTCAGATTATCTAGATCCATTTTCCCATGTAAATTTGAACCCTGTTAGTCAGCATGGTACATGTTCAGCAGATGGGTAATGTCAGCAGATGGGAAATGCCTGCTGTTAGGGTGATCCTAGGCCATGGGCCTCCTCCCCACCCTGAAGACTTAGCAGGTGCCAGCTGGGCTGAGAACTATTCTGTACCCATACCTTCACCCAGGCAGGCAATGGGCTGGAAACCAGGCCTGTGACTCATAAAGGGCCCGAAGAGGTGCTGTAGCAGGACCCTCAGGTCACGTATGGGAGTCTCTTATCTCTGGTCTTAAAAATGAACTTTGTAAAACTTGGTACTTATGGCATATCTAAACTGGCCTACATATATTCATTGCCCACTTGCTCAGGTAATTTGGGGACAGTTTATGACCTCATTCTTGCCACTACCCACTGTCATGCCAACTGTAACACCATCCCCCTACCCTACCCATGCTATGTAGCCATCTTTCTCTGCTGGTTGCTGCAGAGAGCAGAAGCAGCCTGCCGGTCTTGTGCTGCTTCTCGCCTCCTTCCTCCATCCTGGCAAGAGCCTGTGCTACAGCCCAGGCCTTTGCCAGTTGAGTTCCCAGGGCTGTAACAGCGTTACAGAGGGTTTCTGTGAGACTCCAGGTCCCAGGAAATGGGTACTTTTGGTGGCAGAATTACAGATCTTCTAGGAAACTTCAGAGCCCAGAGTGCAGCTACATTCCAGGCAGTACCTTAACATTTGTAAAGCTCAATAAGCTTAAATGATAGAGTGTGACAAAGCTCCTACAGCTGTTTCTGGAGTAAGTGATATGCATGTAATAACTAGTTTTAAAAATAGCCATTTCCTCAGGGCTGGCCGAGTGGCTCAGTTGGTTAAGAGCTCGTTCAAGAGTGCGAGCTCTGAGCATCAGGGTCACCGGTTCTATTCCTGACCCAAGCTGAGCTGCCAACAGGTGGCAGGATGGCTCAGCTTAAAAAAAAAAAAATAGCCATTGCCTCAAAAGAGGCATTCTTTTCATTTGTGTAGGACTTTTTGAAGCTTTTTTTTTCTCTAGTAACAAATAGGTTGACTCTGGTGTCTTCTGCCCTGTTGATAATTACCAAGAATACATGAAAACACTCCTAAAGGAGTAGTTTCTTAATGCTCTACAGGACCACTTGAGCCCTAGGTAAAAGCTAGAACAACACAAAGAACATTGTACTCATGGCATATCCCCCATCTCCCTGGGCAGGTGATAGCATAGCCTTCGAGCTAAAAAGTCTCCATCCTCTAGCTGAGACAGCTCCGGTTACAGGAGCCAAACTTAATTCACCAGGTTTTTACATCCTGCAAGGAGGCCTTTGACGGAATTGTCTCTCCAGACTGAAGGGCAAAAATACAACAGCCTTTTTGTGGCAGAAAGGAAATAGTATGTTTTGATAACATAAACTGGGACAAGGTGACTGCAGTTGTCAACAGCAGAAAATTGTAGAAAGAGATAGGAAAGTATCCTGAAATAGTACTTCTCAGAAAGTGTACAATTTAATAAGGCATTTAGCGAGGACATGTTATCCCTTTAAAGGGTATCAGAACTCAACATTTTGTTGTAATGTGTTCAGATTTGTTCAGTAAATCGGGGAGAGGTTTTTACAGTTGTGTTTAATATGTTTAAGTCTTTGTTTTTCTTTAGTAAAATTTCATTGGTTTTCAGAGCTTGAGGTTTGTTCAGACCCAGCCTTAGTTAAGGCAAAACTATCAACTAGATGCTCTTCCAGCAATCTGCAAAGCTCTGCAGCAGCCTCAGTCAGAATCTTAAGTTGACTCTTGCTTATCTGGCCTTCATCGGTGCCTCCCATTTCCCACCATGCCTCCTTCCCTTCCGTCTTTTCTCAGCCTCCACCTCCTGAAGACTCTGCAGCCGCAGGATTGCCTTCGGGCATTGGCTCTGTTGTGTGGTGCGCTAGACCTGGTTCTTTTTTGCATCAGCTCCACAATATTATATTTTCCTTTATCAAGATACAAATGTTGCTAAATACGTGTTCTCCTACCTGTTGATGTAAGCAAGTCTGAGACTGGAACCAAAGGTGGCAGTAGAAAAACAGTAATGTTAATGAATTCCTGTAGATTGCCTCCTCCTGTGTGGCTTCATTTGTGTTCTCTTTCTGTAACTAATCCAGGTATGTGGGCAAAGACTATTCTGCTGCTCAGGAGTTAATGGAAGATGAGATGAAGGAGTATTACAGCAAGAACGCTACAGTCACCCCGGTCCAGTCTGTGCATGTTGGGCAGCTGCTGGCTGTAAATGCCGAGGAGGACGCCTGGTTACGGGCACAGATCATCTCCATAGAAGAGAACAAAATAAAGGCAAGCTCTGTTTACTTTGTCATAGCATTATGAAGACAAGCACATAAACTTTCTAATAAAACGTTGCTTCTAATAATGTACCCTAAAGACACTATAAATAGACTGTATTTAGTTTTCTTCAGAAATTGAAAAGATAGTATCTATAAAAGATTATCGCTGTCAGCTTTTAAGTCAGTGGTAGTTACATGATCTCAGAGATTTAGTTAAACAAAAAGGGAAGGGAATGGAAGGGGAGGGGAGGGGAGGATACTCCTCCTCCATGGATACTATGGTAAGCTGCATAGTATCCTCCATGGTAGTATCCATAGCCCATGATGTAATCAGGAAGAGCCCTTTATTCCCATTCCCCAGGAATATGTAATAATCACTGATCAGAGTTCTGTGGGCTTTTGGTCAAGGTCAGTACTTTGGAGTGAGGGAAGCAACACAGATCAGAGTAGAGGACATTCCCCCTCTCCCCTCTTCTGCAGTCAACTGAGGAGAGCCCCAAACAGAACTTGGGCCATGCTCTGAGTCTTGACCTCTGTGTCATCTTGGAAAGGTCAAGGTCAGAGAGCTCTTTCACCAGTCTCTTCCATCAGCAGGTTCCAAGATGTCCCAACTTGGCCATATTCCTGGTGCTCAGCCTCTGTCCCATTGCCTCGTCTTTCCCTCCATGCAGAGGCTGAGAGCTAGAACTCTCTCACCCTCAAGGCACAGTGTTGTCTAGATTTTGCAAGCAAAGAAATACACTTCTATTTCTATGGCCTCTGTTCCATAATATAAAACCTGTTCCTGAAACTAATAAAATATTATGTCAGCTGAAATTGAAAAATAAATTTTTAAAAATTAAAAAATCAAACCTGCTCTTGTTCCAGTGTCAGCCCCTGGCAGATAATCTCTTTTGTGTCACTAAGTATAAATAACCAGTCTCTGAACCCAGGCTTAAGTCAATCCGGTACTCTCTCCTGAAACCCCTGCCTTCAAGTACAATATCAGGAGGTGAGAAAGGGTTGCTTGCTGTTTCTTACCCAGTTTGTTCAGTAGGAGAGGTCCTGCCACCCAGCCAGTCACCTTTTGCCCTTCACAGAGAACTTTAGGAAATTCCTTTACCAAATCTATGGAGATGAAACTTGTAAGCAATTTGACCTGACTTGAAAAACCTGAAAATTGGCTACCAGTTTCGGAGTTTCATATAAAGTTAGATACTTTACCATATGACCCTTAAGTATTTACACAAGAGAAAACATAGGTCCACAAAGAGGGTTGTAAACATGTTTATAGCAGCTTTATTATTAATAGTCCCAAATTGGAAGCAACCCAAATGTTCACCAACAGGTGAATGTACAAACACATTGTAGTTTATCCATATAATGGAATACTATTCAACAGTAAAAGGGAATGAAATACTGAAAACACAGTCGCATGGATAATATATCACAGACTATCAAGTGAAAGAAACCTGACACAATAGAGTTACACTGAATGATTCCATAGAAGAACAGGCAAAATTGATCTGTAGCAATGGAATCAGATCAGTAGGTCTCGGGGACGGGAGGTGGCGGGAAGTTAGTTGCAAAGGGGCAAGAGGGAAGTCTTTGGAGCAGAAGATGTGGTCTGTGGTCTTGATTATGGTGATTATGTGGGTTTGACATTTGTCAAACCCATCAAACTATACTTTAAGTGGGCATTTTTTAGTCAGTGTAAATTATACTTGAATAAAGTTTGAAAAAAAATCTGGAAAAAGGTAAGGACCAAGTTGATCACTGGAACAGCAGAGAGCACAGTGTGATTAGCAGCTCAGCGCTAGCTCCGACTCTGCCTCTTTAATGGTTGTGTGCCCTTGGTCAAGTCCCTGCATTCCCCTCAGCCTGCTAAGCAAAGGCATTGGACTAAATGATTTATAGTCTGAGATCTTGGTCCCCAAGGACTCTCCTTAGCTTTCCCTTCTCTGTACCTGGAATGCTCTGGGGACATCACATGTGTGAGAACAATCCAATAGAGAGCCCCTGTCTTCACTGGCACCTTCTCTGGGAATGAAAATCACAGAGGGGTCAACCTTTAACACAGGTGTGTTTGGAGGAGTGGGGATGGGAAATGCTTAGAAAAGGATACCAGAACCAAAGCCAGAGCGCCCTTCAGTAGAAGGTCAGGACCCCAGGAGGAGAGATGAGACTGGGGCAAGGAGTGGTGAGGGCAGGTTAGCACATCTCAGAAACCTTAGGGTAGCGGGGTCAGGAAGCCTAGGTGATCAGGAAGGACCCCAGCACTGCTTTCTGCTCATTGAGAAACCTGAGTGGCTTAGTTGATAGGGGGTAACTGCTCCAAGCGTTCCTAGATAAACTTCTACTTCCTGACCATTTCCCTGCCCTTACAAAGTTCAACAAAATTTAAGCTATTTGAAGACATCGAGATTGCTTATGAAGAGATGAACTGTACACAAACTCTAGTGACACATTAACAGTGCAACTGTGTTTGCAATAAATGCAAATACTCCACCAGGCTATCTCCCAGTCTGAAATCTATAGGGCAAAAATCACTTGGGCCTCCCTTCCCTCCTTGCCTCTGCTATGGAAGTTTAAGCTCTGGAGTCATTTAAACCTGAGTTTGAGTCCCAGCTCTTCTATTTCCAGCTGTGTGGCCTTGGGAAAGATATTTAACTTCTCTGATTCCTTATCTGTAAAACCAGCTACTACCATCATGGTAGTATCTGCTTGATATGTGAGTACTTTTCATTCTTTTTTTTTTTTTTCACTATTCTGGGATGGGGACAAGACAGACCAGTCCTTGTTCTTAAGAAGCTTATTATATTCTAGTGAAAAAAAAGACAGATAATGAGTAAGTATACAAGAACTAAGTAAGGCAATTTAAGTACAGTGAAGGAAATAACCACAGAGCTATAGCAGAGAATAACTGAAGGAAGGGATAAGCAGGGAGGTGTGATCTGGTTTTTTTTGCATCAAAGATTGTTTCAGTACCTATGTGGGGAATGGGTTGTAGTAGGGCAAAGAAGGGAAATTAAGACCAGTTAGCTACTGCCATAGCCAGCAGCTTGGAACCTGAATTAGGGTGGCAGGAGTGGAAACAGAAGTAATAAGACACATTCAGGATGGATTTGGAGGTAGAACTGCCAGGACACTAATTCACTGGATGTTGAAGGTCAGAAAGAACGTTCAGCATGGCTGCAGGGTTTGGGACTTGAGCAACTAGATAGAGAATCATGCCCTTTCTTGAAATTGGAAAGTCAGGGAGAAGAATCAGAATGTAGGAGAATCAAGAATTTGTAGGACCTGTTAGTTTTGAGAATAGCTATCAGATTTCACACGGATGAACCTGGAGCTCAGGGAGGAGTCAGGCTTGGAGATATATCTGGTTGGGAGGCATCAGCATGTAGGTGCTACCTGAAGTCATGGGACTAGGTAAGATCACCGAGAGAAAGAGTACCCATAGAGAAGAGAAGAGAAGTGGACCTGGAACCAGGCTCTGAAGATGCCAGCATTTAGATGGTGGGCAAAAGAGGAGCAAAAAAACATGTAAGAATGGCCAAAGAAGAAAGAAAACTAAGAGGGCAGTGTCATGGAAACCAGAACAAGAAAGTGTCTCATAAAGGAGGGAGAGACCAGCTGTTTCGTTGTTGCTAAGAGCCGTGGGCTGGTGTTAGGAATAAAAAGGGTAGGTTGGTGTGTTGTACAGTAGTGAGCTCTTAAGACAGCAGTAGCTGTGGCAGTTCTGGCCTGATCTTGTTCCCCACATGCCCGTGAACCAGACAAGGATGAAATTTTCCCTTTACCTGGAGAAACCTCAGCTACTTAGCAAGTCTTATTTCTCTTGAATGGTGCCATGCCTGACAACGAGTACGAATTCCCTCCCTGCTTTCCACAGACTTTGGTGAATATGAGAAACAGGAACATGGGGTCACGCCCTGAGGCTGGTGCCTGTTTGGCCTGACACACACCAGCATCACAGGGGGATGTCTGCTGGTTATTACTCAGGTGGCTGTGAGACCTTCCGCCACTTGGTGGTGCCAGAGAACTAGAAATAGATTGCAGCCTGATGCCAGGATTTATGAGCCTCCTTGTGCTGATCCCAGGCCCTTAGAGAGAAACACAGCTTACCACTACAGAACAGAGCAAAGGACATAGGGCAGAGTGTGCTGAGAGACAAACAGGGCGACCCATAGGCAAAGGTTTTATAAACTTAAGCTGCCGTATAAATATATGGTATCCTGATTGAAAAAAATAAAAGAAAGAAAACAAGTTCCAAATGTTACAGAAACCCTTTGAAGATTTTAGAGCAGTTATTCTTTAGTCTGTTGGTGCTGGGCAATATATTCTAAATTCCCCAGGAATCATGATTTTACATGTTGTGTCCTATTGTCGGATCATGTTATGTCCACTTTAGGTCTGGGAAGAGCAGAATCCAAGTTGTAGGGGGTGGTGGCTATTTAAGGAAACAAAAGCTGCCTGAATCCTGAGTCCTGTGTGGGAAGGAGGAACAGGTGCTGATTTGGGACTGGAGCAAGGGACCTGTACACTGAAATCGGTGGCGGCCTGATACGGGGGCCCTGCCAAGGATCTAGGCCTAAGGGAGCAGTGAGTCAAGATATGGACTCTACCTGATGATCCTTTCCAATATGGGATACACGGGCCCGACAGACCCAATTATCAGTGGTCAGGGAAAGGTGTGAGTGGTCTCTCTGCTCTTTTTTCCCTTAGATTCCCTGCTGGGGAGAATTTTTGTTTTGTATGTTTAATACTGTAACCTAGGTAAGAAGCTGTGACTTTTATTTTCCTGCAGAAAGTAGAACTCTTTATTACTTGGTCTTTCTCTGCTATGCCTTTGCCCTGGATTTTGTTGTTTTGTTCTGATTTAATTAGAGAAGCATTCTAGGTATTCACCACTTTCCCTCAGATTCTTAGTTATCTAAATCACAGGTTAATGTTTCCAGATTTTGTTTTTCTCAAAAAAGTCTTTATTTAATTCTTTTCAAATAAAGGTTTTATTAATACTTTAAAAGCAATATCCAGGATCTTAATGATCTGTGTTAATGGTGAGGAAGTGCCATGCAGGTTTCTGCAAACACAGAACTCTGTCCAGCAGATCTGAGGCCTTTCACTGAGCTGGATGAAGGCCTAAACCATCTTTACACCCTGAAAAAAACACAAAAAACAAAAGCAAAAACAACTGCTTTTACGGTGCAGAACTCAGCGTTATCCAGCTATGACCTCACTGTTGTCATCAACAGAAAGCATCTTGGTCCCTGGAAGCATAATAGCCGAGAGCAGCCATCGCACAGTGCTGCTTTGGGGATTTGGAATCTGATAAGCACCACCAGACTGACGCTTTCTCTAGAAACTAATCCTGCTGCCTGAGGACGCCAATCCTCAGTGGAAGTGTTAAATCAAAAGGAATGAGGCGATGCAGGCATTATGATATTAATGGGAGGGTGCAGCAGTCAGGGCTGGCAGAACCAGATGGGCGTGCTGCTGAGCAGCACAGCGTCCAAGTTCAGCAGCCTTCCCTTTTCTCCCCATTGTCAAAGGCGCGGTACAGGAGCGGGACCTGTACCCGTCAGGAGCGCCGCTTCCCTGGTCCCAGCCCCAGCCTTTCTCTTCTGTGCTAAATCAGGGGCACCTCTCCTGGCATTTCCCAGGCAGTGTGGCGCCACTCAACGCGATGACTATGGAATAAACGGGACCCAATTAAGTGCATCAAGTGAGTTTTTAAGAAGTGAGGGTAAAGGATTTTATTTGAACCTAAACGTTATTGTTTTTTTTATCATTAGGTGTGCTACGTTGACTATGGATTTAGTGAAAACATTGAAAAGAGCAAAGCATACAAATTAAACCCCAAGTTCTGTTCACTCTCATTCCAAGCAACAAAGTGTAAGCTAGCAGGTAAGAGGAACTTTTCCTAAAGCTCTTTCCATTTTGCTCTATTATCACCATTGTACTTTTGGGTGGTTAAATCCTAAAATATACTAAGTATCTCAAGGTTTTATAATGGATTATTTCTTGAAAGGTATAAATTCACATCTAATATGGTCTTCATACGATGTGATCATTATAAAACTTACAATGTTTTTACTATATTTTTTGTTATATGTAACATATATGATCTATTTTATTTTGTTATAAAAATGTCTGTTTGCCATCTTCAAGGGGCTTTCTTGGTTGATGTTCTAACTGCCCTAGCAACAACTGCGAGAGGCCCTGTATCATGGGAGTTGATCAGTTTAAGTCACGTTGCACATGTTGTGAAGTGACTCCCAGCTGCATTCCCACTGAGATGGACTCTGTGGGTGCTGCTTGTTATCAAGTAACACACCCTCATGTGCCCAAGAGTTCAGCTGCAGGTCTTGTTCAGTCTCTGGCATAGTCCGTGCATCACTGTTCTTTCTTCCTCAAGGAAGCATAGAGGAATGCAGGTGTGTGAGAGAGATATTGGAGGGGTCATCTGAGCGTATGAAGGAGATACAGTGGCCATGTTAATGATGAAGAAAGGCATTGAAATGTGTGTGCATCACATCAGAAGAGCCTGAGCTCAGTTCAGAAAATGGTCCAGATTCTTTCAGAAAAATTAGCCCTGTGAAGAAATCCCTCCTTCCCAGCAGGGATAAGCCTTTATGTCAGAGGAGCTAGGTTTGGCTCTATCTGTGACATAAATCTCAAGTAATTTTAAAAGCCTGTTACAAACCTGTGGGAGTTAGTTTAGAAAAGAACATATCAAGAGCATAGGACAAGATTTGGGATGCTAAAATGAAAGGTTTGATAAAAGCAATAAAGTTATGTGTCTGGAGAACAGAAAAAGAATGAGAGAAAGGTAGCTCAGTGGAAGTCTGAGCTTTTGCTTTTAGACTAAAGGGGGAAAATATAGACAATAGACATTATAGTACCTTTGGAGAAATGATGAGCTGATTTTAATTGGTTTAATAGATTGACTTAAAGTTGTCATATATATGATACATGGAATTATAATTTTCAAAAAATGTAGAGAATAGACTACAATAAAATAGACCCAACACCATATTAAATTCACTTAATACCATATTATGTTAAACACTGGTCTTTCTTTGATAAATCAGAAAATTATTTGGTATCTTCAGGGTCATCGTGGTGTACAGAAAGAAAGGAAAAAAAGAAAGAAAGAAAGTCTAAATTTCCAATGAATGCATGTTCATTTTATAAGAAAGAAATAATTGTGTATATTTAACTAGAAAATGAAAAAAATCAAAGGTAGATTTTTAGGAAGAACATTACAAATACATGACTGGCAGCATGATTGATAGCTTCTTATATGTATTAGTATTTTTGTTTTAAATATGTGTTTGTATATAAAGTGAAGGCTATTTCTCCTAAGGTGGAAATTCTGATTGATCATCAGTTTTTCTTGTTTTAAGATGGCCTGCCTTAGTGTAATCAAAAGGGCATTCACATTATAATATATATCTTAAAACCTGAGGGTGGGTTATAGAAAGAAGATTGTAAAACAAAGATTCCCTATAAAATTTAAGAATTTGGTACTAGATTCATAATTGTAATAAGTAGCCAAGACAAATACAATCTATCTATCCATCTTAGCATGATTCTGCTAATTAAGTAGAAATTAAAATATTCAATATTTTTCAGGGTTGGAAGTTGTAAGTGATGATCCTGGTTTAGTGAAGGTGGTTGAATCGTTAACTTGCGGAAAGATCTTTGCAGTGGAAATACTTGAAAAAGCTGATATTCCACTTGTTGTTCTGTACGACACTTCAGGAGACGATGATATCAATATTAATGCCACCTGCTTAAAGGCCATGTGTGACAAGTCACTAGAGGTTCACCTTCAGGTACCACTGTGACCACCACTGTCATCTATTACATATATCGTAGGAAAGAAAGTTATCAGAAGAGAATGTTATAAATTTTAGGCTAACACTACATAGAGACAGATTGCATATGTATTAAAAAAAGGGGGTAGGGGGTGCAGGAACAGGAGAAAAATGCCAAAACATAAACAGTAATTATTAGGAATTGGATTTTTTTATTTTCCAGTTTTTACAATGAGCATATTTCATTGTATATGAAATTAGTTTGCAAAGATTATAGGGAAGGATAATGCAAAAGAAGGGAAAATTAGATTAACAAAGATGTTTATTAAATTATTAGCTTTAACATTTTTAAAATGTGAAGAACATAGATGGTCCACAAAGAAGGAAACCTTTAAATAAATTATAGGGCAGCCGCTCTAAGGGATAGACTGAGATGTTAAAAATGATCATTTTAAAAGCTTCATAGCAACATTGGGAAAATGTTTGTTTTAATAAGTAGAATAATAGTGAATTCTCTTTATATTATGATCTTACGAAAATGGCTAAAATTAAACTTTGACTATGTTTACAATTTTTAAAAATTACTAAAATTTATATGGCCTATGGACACAGATTAGCAACTAGGCTATAATGGAGTTGATTTGGTGAGAGCTTTTTCTTTTCATTTCTGTTAATGTTGCAAAAATATGTTTTATGTAATAATTTTCTAAATTAATGGGGAGAAAATAAAGTTAAGGATATTCTCAGCTTTTCAGATAATGCAAAATGGTAATAAATTAGTGTGTGCAAAATGTCTACTTTGTGCCAGACACAAATGATACCAGATATTATATTCCTTTTGGAAAGAGGTATCTAAACTAGTTTCTCCCATTGAAGTTATGCATTTCATTCTATCTGTCCTTCAGCTTAGAAGATTTTAAAGTGCAAAGACTTTTAATGATATATTTAGGCAGATACCCATTAGGTGGGTAAGAGCTATGCTCTGTTTCCAAGCATCCTGATGTGTCCTTTGTTCGTTCCAGGTTGATGCCATGTACACAAATGTCAGAGTGACTAATATTTGCTCTGATGGCACACTCTACTGCCAGGTGCCTTGCAAGGGTCTGAACAAACTCAATGATCTTCTGCATAAGATAGAGGACTACTTCCATTGTAAGGTATGGCGGGGCATCATCCACCTCTAGAATTAGTTCTAAAATTGCAAATAAGAGTGGTCACTAGCTTTTGAACAGTTTGAGGTAGAATTTCTAGAATAGTGGGTTAGAGCCACAGACTGCATAATTTGAAAACAAAACAAAAAACCCACTGGTTTCTGCATTGTAAATGAGGATAGTAATAGTGTGTATCCATAGGACTGTCATGAGGAGAAGTCGCAAGGCTGCTTAGTGCCGTGCCTGGCACATAGTGAGTGCTCAGCAGCCTGCAGGTTATTTACTAGGTGCAGTTCATGATGCTGCAGTGCAGCTGTCTGTGTGTCTGTCTGCTAGAGCCTACTGGCTCCTCTGCCCTGGGCAAAGATGAAAGCATGGGATGTAGGGCAGGAATAAAACTTCTAAGGCATCACTCCCCAAGTTCTTTATGGTCCCTGAGAACCTACCACCTCCATAAATGTGGTCTGACAATTCAAGTTTATTAAATAAGCTCCATACCCTTTAATTCTTTTCTGAATTAGGATATGTAGAGGTTTTGTTTTAAGGTTCTAATGTGATTTCCTTACATCCATTGGTACATTATCGTCATAATCCAGAATGTGCTGTGGTTTCCAAGTGACTAAACTCTATTGCCACTTCAACCCCAACCCTCCTGCCCCTGGACGTGACCCCTTCCCTCTAATCTGCAAAGCACACTGAGCAACTTGTGGCACTTATGCAGCCCTGTATTTAAGGTTTTTTTTGTTTTTTTTTGCCCTGCTGGTGTGTAGGCTTCTTGAGGGCAGAGACTGAACTTTACCAAGTACTGGCAAATACCTAATTCATGTAGATACTGTGGTACCTAATCTAGTGTCTCATAATAGAATAGGCATTCCAAAGTATTTGTTAAATCTGTATTCAGACTACAGCCTAGAACTGAAGCATTGGATCTATAGCTTTACCTCTTTCTGTGTCACAGATGTCTTAGATGTGTGTATCTCAAGGTCATTACTTAAGTCTGATTTACTAGTCTATCTTGGAGAAATCTGAGACATCCTGAGAGGCTGACTCCAGTGATGCATTTGCATGCATGTGCTCACAACCTGTGGTGGTGGAAAGCACTCTGGTTAGTCCCTAGTGCTTTTGTAACCCAAATGGAGACGTTACCTGTGGGGAGAGTACATTCACCCTGAAGGAACGACCACGGCAGGCCCCCAGCTTCAATCTACAGCAGAAGAGGAGGAGGAGGATCCTACAGCCGTGATGTGGTGGCATTTCACTGGCAGTGATATCCTTATTTGTGTAGATAACATTTCTCTTGTTTTGGAATTAAAATATAATATTTTAATCTAAATATTAAAAGATGAAAAGAAGAGGCCTTATGGACAACTAGCCCAACCTCCCCACTTTTATCCAGGCTATGCTCCTTTTTGTCAGATCCATCCTCCCTCTTTGTGTTTAAGTAATGGTGCCAGCACCTGGATGAATCATACTGACCTCCACGTTCATATTTTTAGACATTTTAACAGGACTGATTTATGAGCCATGTGCCAGGAAGGAGCGCAGATCACTGCCATCAGCAAGTGGATGAGGAGCAAGGCAGAAGTTCTGTAACCCTCGGGACATGGCTTGCATCCGCTGCTTACATTTGGGCAAAACAGCTGGCCTGTGACAGCCATGTGTTCCTGAGGGCATAGCAATATGCTCTCGGCTAAGAGTAATAAGTGTCGTGCCGTTCTGTTTTGCAGCACATGACCTCGGAGTACTTCGTTTCCGTACCCTTCTGTGGGAAAATCTGCCTCTTCCATTGCAAAGGAAAATGGTTACGAGTAGAGGTAAAATCAGTCACTTGACTTTTTTTTTTAACCTACTATGAAATATTTCAGGCATACAAACAAGGTTTTAAAAAATGTAATGAGCACCCACGTACTCATCGCCAGTTTGAGAACTAAAATATGACCGATAGGGTCGACGTTCCCTGTCTGTGCCCCCTTTCTTCTACTCCCACCCCTGGGGGTCTGCCAGCTGACTTTGGTGTTTCTCATTCCTATTCGTTTCTTTATACTTTTACTATATGTGTATCTATACACACAAACTTTTACTATCTATATATTTTCATGTATAGGTAGTGGAAATACAGAAATGAATATGTATGTAGAATATAGTAAAAAAAATAAATGAAGTATAACTAAACGAATAAATGTTTTTTAAATGTATGTAAATAGTAAAAAGTATTGGTTCTTCTGAGCCATGCTTTGTCGTTCTTTATGTTTGTGAGAGTCACCCATGTTGATGTGTACAGCTCTAGTTCCTTTGTTTTCACTGCTGTGTGATGTGTTGGTGTATGAATATGCCAACATTGTCACTCTCTTCTCCTGAGGATATTTAAATTGTTTCCAATTTTTCGTGGTGAATAATGCTACCGTGAGCCTTCCTGTGCATGTCCTCCAGGGTGCATATGTAGGAATGGAATTTCTGGGTGTAGGGAATGCCTATCTTCACCTTCGCTAGCTCTTGCTTGATTCTCCAAAGTGACCCTTCCACTGAGGCTGTAGCCCTTTGAGAGTTCTGGCTTCTTGAGGGAGTCTCAGATTCCTGCCCAGGTTGGCTTGGGCTTCAGCGTTCACATACTCCTCTATTTCCAGTTCCTAATAATCGTCTTATTTTCTTGCAAGCTCAGTTATGAATTTGAAAGGAAACTTGTTATATTTTATCATATATATCTATATGTTTTTCAAAAGTGGATTTTTATTTTTGTGATTACTGTTTCTTTTTTTCTTTCCTTCTTTTTCTGATATCTAGTTTATCCAATTGCTAAAACTGCAAATTTGGGCTTGATTTTATTTTATTTTTTCCATTTTTCCTTTGTTTCAGAGGTTCTTAATCTAGGTGTAAGGATCTCTACTTTTAGGGGCCCTTGCAGATTATGTGAGTGTGTGTAAGTGTGTGTATTATGTATTTCGGGGTAGCGGGGAGAAATATCCATAATTTTCATAAGATCCTCAAGGAAGCCAGCCCTGGGAAAGTGAGAACCATTGCTTTATTGATTTTTAAATACTGCATAGCAATATTTTGATAACTTAATTATACTGATTTTCCCTTTATTTAAATAAAATTTTGTCCTATTTTAACAAAAGCAGCAATTTTGAAGTAGTTATTATCATTAATGTGAATATGTGTCAGAAGGCTGAGAACCTTGGGTTGTATGACCAAAAGTTGCCTGCTTAGCTATAAACTTCAAAAACATAACTTGTTAAAAAGAACATGGAATTATTCAAAATTTGAAGCTCTGTGGTGCTTAGTGTATAATATATAAATGCACAAATACTTATTTTTTTAACTTCTGTTTTGAAATAATTTCAGACTTTCAGAAAGTTGCAAAAATAGTTCAGAGTTCCCATATGCCCCTTACCAACCATCTCCAATGTTAACATCTCGCATAACCATTATTAAAACCAGGAAATTAACATCAGTACAATATTATTAACTAACGTGCAGAACTTACTGACATTTCTCAGATTGTCCCTCAAATGCCTTTTTTCTGGTCCAGGATCCCAAGTTGTATTTAGTTTCATGTCTTCTCAGTTTCCTCCAGCCTGGCAGTCTTTCTTTGTTGTTTGTGGCCTTTTGCAGAGTGGCAGTATTTTGTAGAATATCTTTCAACTTGAGTTTCTTCGTGTGTAGAATCAGTTTATACTTTTTTGGCAAAAAATACCTTTCCAGTATATGCTCAAGTACTTTAGATAAATATCTAGTATTATTTTTATAACTATCAAATTGTGTGTTGTCTACCTTTGAGGTAGCAAAAGTGTAGTAAAAGCATTCTTTTAGTGATGTGTAGAAAGCTGAGGAAGGAAAAATGATTAATGAAAAGCAGATTCTTTGTTTAAATGATGTATTTCTTCTTGACATATCCAAGCTTTAGTGCCTATACATTTTGCACTTGTTCCATGCAGCCCAGCCAAATCTTTTCCATGGCCATCACTCTCCCTGCCATCACTCTTCCTCCAAACACATCCTGAGTCATCTGCATTCACTTTTCTATACCACCTTCCAGTCAGTCCTCAGCCACTGCTGTTTAACTTCTGCCTGCATTCCATCAAAGAGCCTGTTCTTACAACAGCACCATAATTGCACAATCTAATTAGTATCTTCCCTGTCTCATTTTACCACACCTCTTTGCTGCACCTACCAGTGTTTAGACTTGAAATTCTCTTCTCACTAGGCTACCATGTTACTAAATCCTCCTAAATTTCCTTATGATGTTCTAATGATTCTTTCTCTTGTTTTTCACCCAAACCTCCTCCTAAACCCTACCACTGAAGTGTCAGTGTCCCCAAGTTCTATCCTGACTCACCACTCTTTTCAGCCCCTGCATCCTTCTAGGCAATCCCGTCTCATAACTTCAGTTATCATCTCCATTCTTATGTTTCCTAAATTAGTTCCCAGCCCTCGATGAGCTTCAGATTTGGGCAAACACCCACATTGTCTATCTCACCAACTCCTCAGGCTCTACATGCCTGAAATCAGACTTAGCTTTCCCCATCCTTGTCTTCCTCTTCTGCCTGTATTTTGGTGGGACCTCCATTCGTGCAGTCATTCAAGCTGTTCCTTAAGAGTTATCTTTGACTCCTCTATCTTCCTCAGCCCCCAGTGCACTAATCACCAATCCCTGCCAGTTTGACAGCTTTGTCATTTCTTGTCGAGATCACTGCAGTACCATGCCAACTGGTCCCTCTGCCTTTCGAAAGCTCTGTCTTCTTCCAGTCGTGCTCCGCACCACTAGAGTGAGCAACCCAAAGTGCAAATAATAGCAAGTAATAATATGTTCAACTTTTAATGAGGCTTACTGTTTCCCAGACACTAAATCTTGTTTTTTCAACATGAGTGATCTCATTTAATCTTCACAAAACCCTGTTATCCCCATTCTTACTGATGAGGAAAGTCATTCAGCTGGAAAGTGGGAGAGTTGAAATTTAAAACCAAATCTGTCCGTTTCCAAAACCCTCACCCAGTCTTACCACCAACTATACATGGCTTCTTCTAAAGCTGACCATCTCAATCTTCCACTTAAGACTTGACATTGGCTTCTTCTCATCTACAAGGTGAAGTCTAAGTTCTTTAAGACACAATATCTGACTCTCCAAGACCTTGCCTTTGCCTGGCTCCCACCCCCATCTCTGGTTTGCCCTGACTCTTAGTTTATGTTCCAACATAACCAAAATGCTTCTAGATCGCACATGTGAGAAATATGTGTCTCTGCCCATCCTCTTTGGGAGAGGAGAACAGTGTTGGGTAATCGGGGAAGGGGAACAGACAAGTTGCTGTCCTTTTGTTCTTCAGTCTAGTTGTGGAGGACATTGCTTCACTGACCCATGTTGGTATTATCATTGTGCTCTTCCTGGGTGAGGCAGTCGCTCACCGGCCATAGGACGGCCACTCATGGCGGCTCATGGCAGCTCACGCCAGCTGCCGGCCAGCCCCACTGCAGCCTATGCTGTCGCCGGCCACTCACGGCAGCCCAGCTCCAGGTTGAGCTGTTGTTCACCATCTTAGCTGTAGAGGGCGCAGCATCACTGGCCCTCATGTGGGATCTGAAATGGGGCCCTGCTGCTCAGAGCTGGCATCCCAAACCAACTCTTAACCAATGTGCCACTCGGCTGGCCCTGAGTTTCAATTTTTTAGTTAGAACAAATGATAAAAATTATCATTAGGTTTTCTGATGATGCTATAGTAGAAAAAAACACTACAAAGAAAATTCTGTCTCTGAACTCTTTCCAGTCTTTATTTCCTCATTACTAAGACAAGTAGTTTTTTTCCCTCACATTTTAATATTTTGGAGAACAGACTGCATCTTACATTAGCAATATATAATAATGTATCAAATTGTTTTATAATTAATAGTGTCCTAGAATTGAAAACAGTCAATATTACTATATTTATTCATTTTATTATTCGTTTAGTGATTATTACTGATGAAATGAATTAACAACTAGATGTTGAAATCAATTCTACTCCAAAAGACTACCTACAAGTACATTTTAAAATAAGAGAAGCTTTAATAACACAGATAGTCTTTGTTGCTTTTTATATGCAGCGTAGAGTTGAACAAATGTAGTTGCACAGAAGCATTTTGGCCTTTTGGATGTGCTCATAAATTCGCCAACACTTGTCTCATTGCAGATCACGAACGTTCACAGCAGCCGGGCTCTTGATGTTCAGTTCCTGGACTCTGGCACTGTGACCTCTGTAAAAGTGTCCGAGCTCAGGGAAATTCCCTCTCGGTTTCTACAAGAGATGGTTGCAATACCGCCTCAGGTACCATATGTTACAAGCCTGGGAGATTTGCTGGTAGAGATTGGGATGTGTTAGGAATCATGTGAGAAGCCCCCCTTTCAGTTTTGATCTTGATAATGATCAAAGTCTGAGTTTGTAACAAAGTGGGCAGTGATCTAAGTGTGGTGGTTCCCTGGTTTTCAGATGTAAAAGCCAGCCGACTTAGACAAAGAAGTCCAGTTAGACTTCCAGAATATTGTTTGATAAATGTTTGTTTTTTAAATATGTTGAGTCATTGGGCTGTGTTGTCCAGTTAGAGGTTTGATTATAATAATGAGATGTCAGTGCTGACTTCTACACAGCTGCAGGATATTGATGTAAATATTTATTTCCAGAGTTCTTAGTTTAATTAGGTAACCATTGTCTTTGGATATCTGTTTATATTTAATCATTTTCTTATATGACCTTTCCCCATAGGTTTTAGTAAAAAGATTAACCTATCCTTCTATTGGTAAAAATTCACGTGATAAGAATTTTGAATTATTTTAAATTAATTAAAATTGTTAAGAACTATTTCCTACCTCTAGGAGAAGTAGAGGATTTTGTGCAGATATTAATCATTTTTTGAAAATAAAATAGTTCAATAGTCTGTAATTTCAAAAGGCCGCTTGACTTGTATTTGCCAGACATATTTTATGCCATCAAAACTCGGTGAATAAAAAGCACTTGACCATAATTAGCATGGCTTTTATAATTCCTCTCACTCCAGTCACCATCACCTTTTCTAAAATGACTATTACAGAGAAGCTGTTTAACTTGTGATCAAGCCAATTTTCAAAATCACTTTTAGCCTTATTGTTGTTCAGCCATAGTACTGAAAATTATTACCGTATTTGCCAGCGTATAAGACGATTTTTTGGCCCTGAAAAATATGCCTCCAAGTGGGGGGTCGTCTTATACGCCAGGTACACTTCAGATAGACTGCCCATAGTGCTTGCCCCGTGCCATAGTGGCCTCCCGATGCCCGCCCACTTCATTCCACATACCGTTCAGGCATCAGCAGCGCTGCTGGGTGTATGCTCGGCTGTTATGCGATTTTGCGGAGTGTGGTAATTCGGGTTACCGTATATTTCTTTACATATGCATTGAAGATTCGCGATTTTGCACTATCATGGTGCCTGTTAGAATGTTGAAGAGCTCGCACTTGCGCACTAGTGAGGTCCCAGGGAGATGCTGATGCAAGGGTGGACCAGACTGCTATAGTGACAGGGCGGGCAAACAGGGAGCAGGGACCAATCAAATCAGGCTTTGTATACAGCCAACAGCCAACCACAATACTGCACCATTGTACAGTACAGCATAGAAAATGTCGACCAGTCAAACCCCTATCATCCCTATCATGGCACCAGCCAAAAGAAAGAAGTATGATGCAAATTTTAAACTGAAAGTTATAAACTTTGCTAAGGAAAATAATAATTGTGCTGCTGCAAGACAATATGGAGTAACAGAAAAGATGATTCGGGACTGGAAATCAAATGAGAAAGCATTAAAGAGTATGCCAAGGGGTAAGTGTGCATTAAGAAGAGGCACCCCACACTGGCCAGAACTCGAAAAACATGTAGCAGACATGGTGGCTCAACATCGCCAAAACGGTTATGTGGTGACACGAAATACAATACGCTTGTTTGCACTTCAGTGGGCCAAATCAAATCTGATATTGTTTTACCTTTTATTTGGTGTGTGGAAGGTGTGCGGAAGAGGGGGTAGTCTTATACGGCGAGTATATAACAAACTCTGTATTTTGAGTGGAAATGTTAGGGGGTCGTCTTATACGCCCAGTCGTCTTATACGCCGGCAAATACGGTAGACCTTTATTTAAGTGCTGTTTCACTTGATAGCACCTCTGGCCTCTGTGTCACTTGTTAGAACAGCCACCGGGGCCAGCCTTACCTAGAAAAGTTACCTGGGCTGGAGGGAGTAGGGGGCTCCATCCCACTGCTTCTGACTGTCTGAAAGTCACATTAGTACTTTCTTTGTGCTACAGCATTAAAAGCTACAGGAATGTCTTTCTCTTAATCTTATCTAGATTCGTTGTTTGATAGATGTGAAGTTGGGGGAACCTTAAAAGCCAGTGAGGCCAAGCCTCTGGCTAACAGTATCTTCCCAAGAGGTCTAAGAACAGCAAACCGATGGATGGTCTTCGGCCAAAGCTGACCCGTGAATATTGGGTTTGGGCTGTTGGCTTTTACAGTGTTTCAAAACGTGAATTGGTTGCCAGGATTTAAAAGTCAGATAATTTCACAGAAAAATCCCTACTTCTAGCTTCTCTTGACAAATTAGAAAATCTGACTGTATGGAGCACTCTCTTTTGTGGGAGCTTGGGAATGGTGTTCTTATCTGCAGGGCCTTGCCGTCCAGTGCCCTGAACCCATCTGGCTGCCTCACTCCCTCACTGCCTGCCTGGCCCCTGCACATATTAGAATGTGACCTCCTACCCGAGGAAGGTACCTCATCCAGGAGGCACAGTGAGAGACTTGGAGTCTCCGTGGGAGGGGTTATGACAAGGAAGATGGGGCGCAGAGAGGAAAGAAGGAAGCCAGGAATCCCGGAAGTCCGTTTTGTTCCCTTCACAGAATTGCCTCCATCAAATTAAAGGCTTCCATGAGACTGAAGGGAGTCCCTGAGGTCACCTTTTACTCCCTGCTGTAGCCATTGTACAGAAGCTTGTGCAGTGATGGTAAGAGGTAAAAGGCATCGGGGAAAAGGAGGCTTTTAGCCAGCTATGGCTGTCAGTTTTCCTTACCCTCCCTAGCTCTCATTACAGCCTCCTTCCCAAGATGAGCGCAAATAACTGCGCCCACAAGATACTCAGGAAATGCTGAATGAAGCACATAAGCCTCCAAAAAGAACTTTGCAACAAGAGTCAGTTTTCATCCAAATGACACTTCATATTTTTTAGTTGGGTTTCGAGGGAAGAAGAAGAAGTCCCAATCCTGTCTTCTTAATTTTTTTATCTTACACAAATTAGTCTCTCTGAGTTCGTTTCACCACCTGTAAAATGGGCTCACAGCATTGGCCTGTCACGCAGAAGTATTGGAGGCTGAGAGGTACAAGGGGTGCCTGGTGTAAGCCCTGGCTTGTAATAGGAGGAAAGACAATAGTAGTAATAAAAATGGAGCTGGGAACATAGCAGGTGCTCTGACCTGAGCGCTGTGATTGTCATTATTACCTATTGCTGTTGCTCGCTTTCTATGTTGGCAACATTTAACTTCTAGAAGATAATATTGACGTTACTCCTAAGTCCCTATTTTAAGGTGGCATATAATCACTTTTCCATCATGTTTTCTTTTCAGGCCATCAAGTGCTGTTTAGCAGATCTTCCACAGTCTATTGGCATGTGGACACCAGATGCTGTACTTTGGCTAAGAGATTCTGTTTTGAATTGCTCAGACTGTAGCATTAAGGTTAGTTGTCTTATTGATCCTGATTCAGAAAGGGAGCTGTCAGCCAAAAGGGCTCATTTGGGTTTTGTGAAATAATTGTATCTTACTGTAAACTGATGCTTTCACATCTGACACATTTTTATAGTCAAGAGATTGGTTTCATGTGTAGCAATACGATATTTCATAGTTTAATGTTTATTTAAGAATTTAACTATATCTCCAGTATTATTTTTAAACCCTTTATATAGTTTTTCCTTTATTAATAAGGTAACAGAGATGGTTCCCTGCTCCTATTTTGTACCATGATAAAGAATTAAGTCCCCAACAGAGGGTCTACCATATGTCTCTTGATAAATATTTCTAAAAATCATTTAAGTGAGCCCTCTCTTTTTTTTTCTAAAGTAGAGTGGATTATAAACAAATTATTTGCTTATAATCTTGGTTTTTACCTCTTTTCTTAAAGCTTACTTAAATTGCTTTATTTGTTTCACTAACTTGTTTTTTTTTTGCACCTTCACATCAAAAACATTGCTCATATTTCCAAGAATGGAAATGCAAGGTGATATTTCTCTGTTTAAACTAATGCAGGTAGTGTTACTTTATACGAACACTTAACGGTGAAATGGCCTTGGAAACATCTTCATGAAAACTCTCTAAATTTTTCTAGCTCACACTGATTTTCCTATCTTGATAGTCCTTTAGGGTTTCTAATGTACAGTTACACAATTATAATACATTGTACCATTTTATAGTCTTCAATTGCCACATGATAATGAATATTGTTTTCTCAGCTACTATTTTCAACTCCTAAAGGCAGCGTATTGGGTGCTCAATAAATATATTTGTAATGGTCGATTTTTGCAATGGTACTTCTATATCATAAATATAAAAATGAGTCAGCAGTCAGTACTTCATCAGCACTCTAAATGATGAATTTAAATAGATTCATGTTGCTAAAAGAAAACTTAAATAAATTGCTGTATAAGGACTGTCTTGCTGGTGTCTCCTGTCTTCATGCCTGAATTTCTGCCTTTCATTTCTAGCCCAATTTGATAAAGGATAGATAGATGTGGCTAGAAGTGTCTATTTTGGTCATTCCTAAGGTAAACCAGAGTTGCCGATGAGAAGAGTTAACAGTTACCCAGCCCTTTGGGACACACAGCAGTACACTCTCCATTATCAGTGTGTGGTATTCCCATACACACATACATACATATTCCCATACATGTGTAATCAAAAGTCTCCTGGGCAAAAGGGGCAAAGCTGAGATTTTGGCCTGGAGCTTTCTTCCTCTTATTCTCCCAAAGCCCCTCTTCTCTCACGTACCTGGGGAAGGGGTGAGGGGTGAGGGCAGATATTAGGACCAAAAAAGGAATTTAGCTCAGAAGTCCTAAAAGGTATGGTGAATGTCAAAGCTGTTTCCTTCCCTTCCCATTCTGAGGTGCACCAGCCTTAAGCAGAATGCTTAGGACATTTTCCCATTATTATGATTATTTGTTGAAGTTGGATTGAGGAGCACATGGGGATTCATCATATTGTTCTATTTTGAATGTTTTAAAATGTCATTAATAAAACCTGTTTTAAAATCATGATATGTAGAATCACTTCCTCTCAGTGATAATGACCTCTAGCAAGTTATAAAAGTATTCAGAGATTTTAGAAGTTAGCAAATTTTTCTTTCCCATAAGCTTGCTGCTGGTTTCTAGAGTACTTAAGAGCTTGTTCATTGCTACAGCTGATAATTCATCTGACCTTAAATAAAATGACTTTGAGCAAGTTGGGTTTGTTTGGGTTTTTTTGCAAAATACTGTTGTAATATTTAATGTTAATAGTATAACCACCTCTTACAATTCGGTGTGAATTTGGATTTCTTAAATTGGTTTTTCTTGTTTTCCAAAGGTTACAAAAGTAGATGAAGCCAGAGGGATTGCACATGTTTATTTATTTACTCCTAAGAACTTCCCTGATCCTCATCGCAGTATTAATCGCCAGATTACAAATGCAGATTTGTGGAAACACCAGAAAGATGTGTTTTTGAGTGTCGTATCCAGTGGAGCTACCTCTCCCAAGAGCAAAAGTGGTAACAGTAACACCCCCATTGCAAGCGACACTGGAGAGAATTCCAGAAAGAGCTTCACAGATGTCATCAAAAAGTCCATTGTGGACCACACCAGGTCTATCTCCATGGAGGAACTGCCCCCTCCTGTCCACTTGTCAAAGCCAGGGGAACACATGGATGTGTACGTGCCTGTGGCCTGTCACCCCGGCTACTTTGTCATCCAGCCATGGCAAGAGATACATAAATTGGAAGTTCTGATGGAAGAGATGATTCTGTATTACAGCGTGTCTGAGGAGCGCCACGTAGCAGTGGAAAAAGACCAAGTGTATGCTGCAAAAGTGGAAAATAAGTAGGTCCTTAGACAAAGCATTTTATCCTATTCCTAAGAAAAATGCATAGAATGATATCGAGAGCTCTTAATACTCTGCAGGGGGACTTTGAACTGCATGAATGGGCATTTTCATTGTGAAATGAGATTCATGAATTATGCAGTTTTCTAATATTTAAAATGATGTCATTTAGCTAAAAATCTAGTGACCACATTCCTGTTAAAATCTAATTTCTCTGAAGTGAAGGTTCGAATGTTTTTTCTGCTTTTCTATTAGAAAAAATATTTGTTTATTCAGAAAATAACAGGTCTTTTTATTCAGTAACTTTTTAATTTTAAAAATAAGGTGTTTATTGTAGAAAATCTTTTAAATACAAAAAAAGTATACAAAATTAAAATCAGCCAACCAGACGTCACCCTTGTTCAACTACTTATGTATTTCTTCTGTTTTTTTCTGTACATATTTATACAATTGGATTATTATTATACCATGTTTCCCCGAAAATAAGACTGGGTCTTATATTAATTTTTTGCTCCAAAAGACACATTTTATTCATTTATTCATGTACAAAAATCTACATTTATTCAAATACAGTCATGCCTGGCTAACAATCTTAACTGGGGCTTATTTTGGGGTAGGGCTTATATTACAACCACCCTGAAAATCATGCTAGGGCTTATTTTCCAGCTAGGTCTTATTTTCAGGGAAGCATAGTATATAATCTTGTACTTTTTTTTACCTGACATAATCCTGTGAACATTTTTTCATGTGATAAAATTTCTTTGTAAACATTTTTAATGAATGAATAATAGTCCATCATATAGAGAAATCATAATTTACTTATCATCATTCTCTTTTGTTATGTAGTTTTTTTTCTCCCAAATTTTTCACTGTTATAAATAATGTTGACCATAAATCTTTGTTCACATCTCTGATCACTTATTTAGGAGATAGATTCCTAGAAGAGAAATTATTTGTTTGATTAAAGATTCTTGATATATGTTGTCAGTTGCTTCCTAGAAAGCCTGTGCCACCTTGTATAAGGTGCAATCATGCATATTCCACTATTCTTTGGCCTTTGGACAGTGAGAAACCATAATTTTTTACATTCGTTTAGCACTTCCATTATTTTCTCATATTTTCACATGTGGGATACACCTTCTGAAGCCCTTTCATGAAGTACATGCTGGTTTCAACCCAGTAAAACCCAAGCACTACACTCTATGCTCTGCGCTCCGGCCACGGAAGCCCTGGAATATGGTACAACTGCCTTGTCCTGTCCCCTTGGCCAGCGTTCTTAGGGAAAATGACCAAGCTTCTGTGATGATGCTGAGCACAACTGTCTGTCTCCCTGCCCCCAAACACGCACAAACACACGTGCGTGTTTTTTGGGCAAACTGAGTTTGCCCAAACTCAGTTTAGAAGGGCAAACTGCTTATTTTTCCTACTTTAGGTTTATCTAAAAGTTTCTGGAGTTTCCCCCAATCACATCCAGTGTTTAAAGCTGGCTTCTCTGCAGCTTTCTTACTGTGGGTCACCTTATAGCAGCTGTGTAGGTTTCCTGTACCCGTTCTCCACTAGGCATACACTGGCTGGGGAAGCAGTCTGGTTTGGCCAGCCCCAGCCCAGCAGTGTGCTGCAGTGAGGGCGCTGTGATTCCCCTAGGTTTGTGGCTGATTCACCTGTTTCAGAGGGTGGCTGGGCCTGCCCCCTGAGGCAGAGCCCGACTCACAGCATTAGGAGCAGAGCCACCTCCATAGACGCTTTCCTTTTAGAACCATCATCCTTTCCTCAGTATAACAGTCTTTAATCATGTCATCAAGACTATAGGACTTTAAAATGGTCCTTCATGTCTGAACTTCAAAGTCTAGGTTTTTCTAATTTTGATGATGATGTAGGTCCAGAGGGGAAAAGTATATTTGTGTGAATTTCAGGCACCTTGAATACTGGATCTTACCCCATACCCTCCTAGCCTTTCCAGATTCCTTATTTTAGGTGGTGGGTTAGATTTTGGTGTTTTTGTTTGTTTGTTTTTTAGTGTCCTTACTTGGCATACTTAAAATTGTCAGCTTCACATTAAAAGCTTTTTATAATCTCTTCCCAATCCCCCTTTCCAGTCTGACTTCCATTCCTTCCCACATCCCACTACCTAGCTGTACTGTAGTGTGTTCTCTGCTAGACTCATGCCCTGTAGAGTCTTCTGTGCTTTTCTTCTCATGCCTGTCTTCAGCCTGGCCTGGTCCTGCTTACCTCCCTCTGTCCATCTTCCACATGTGTACCTTGTCCCAAACATGTGGCCATCCCTTGTCTCCCCATCAGGTTGTTCTTGTCCTGACCAACCTCCATGGCATTTGTTTCATTCTACTTAGTGATGGTCGGTAGGCTGTGTTTCATTCTCCTTGAGCTCCATGAGGCTGTAAAATGGTGTTGAATGAGCACATTCCATCAGATGAGCTGGTGGCAAAGCAGACAATAGTAACCTTGGAAAAAGTAGATGCAATCTCTTTAAAAACGACTACAACTGTATAGTTTTATAGTTTGATTAACATCGTTCATATTAATTTTTCTTTTTGTCATAAAATGTTACCGTTAAAGCAGGTGTTGACTTGGTGTGTTTTCTCTTCCTTTTTAACCCTTTGCACATGTAGGTGGTACAGGGTGCTTTTAAAAGGGATCCTGACCAATGGACTGGTCTCCGTGTATGAGCTGGACTATGGCAAGCACGAATTAGTCAGCATAAGAAAGGTACAGCCCCTGGCGGACATGTTCCGAAAGCTGCCATTCCAGGCAGTCACAGCTCAACTAGCAGGTAATTCCTGTGGCATATGAACTCATGCCACAGCATAGTTTGTATTGTCATTGTGTCCTGGGTACTTAGGGAGAGCACAGAATCATTGGCCTATTGCGGTAACTATTTTTTTTTTTTTGGTACAACTTCCCAACAGTAATGGAAATAATTTTTAATGATCTCTCCCAGTAGTCATACCCTCCCACTACATCTGCTGTTTCTGTTTTTTTCATATTCCTTTCTGTCTCTGGCCTCATGTATGAGTTTATTTCTAAGGCTGTAATCTTGGTACAGGGACAATATTGCTTTCTGCTTTCTTCATTTAGCATTTCCCCCCCTAATTTTGTGGTGGTGGTTTGATGGCCCTGATAATGATTTTAATAGTTGCAAAATATTCCATTTAATCCATATTTCCCCATTGTTGAACATTTAGGTTCTTTTTACTTTTATTGTCATATTAACAAAAAACCTGCTGCTGTGTATACTAGCCAAAACAAACAAAATCAGTGAAACAGCCAAAATAACCAATAGGAGGAGAACATTGCACAATTAAATATTTCATAATTTACTGCATAAACTATACTTCATCCACATAATGGATTGTCACAATTATAAACCATTCCTGGGTCGTGGAATATGACCATTTTCGTGGCCAGCTGAGCTTTCAGTTGCATTGCAGCAAACAGCATGCAGGTGTAGAATTTCACCCATTTACCCCAGCCTATTGATTATCATTAAAATCTGAGAAGCTAAGTCAATAGGTGCACAGTGGTACTTACTTGTAATATTGTCTAATGAGATTCCTGTTTGTCTTTTGTGAAAGCAGCCCACATGTTGGTGGCTTCCCTGTGTGCACTCTACCAGGAGGTAGCGTGAGCAGCTAGTGCCCAGAGGCCTCGGCACTAGCAGAGGGCGTGGAGACCAAAAGGGCTGAGGGGTGCAGACACCTCCAGTCCTCTGGGGCTCTCTGTGTCCCCCTATGCTGGGATATGGGGAGTTGTGATCACATGGGCCACCCTGATTCTTCACCCCCGCTTATCCCATATGTTTAGTGACAAAAGTGATTTGATCTCAGAAATGAAAGCCATTATGTATATAGATTCTTCTTTTAATTACTGACCAGCTTTTTGGGGGAAATAGATATATATTACCTTATTTTTGAATTATTGGCCAGTTTCTTTGTGTCTCCTACTAGAATTCAAAGGAAACTCCCACGGTAGTTGGGTATAAACCAAAAATGGCATTTTGCACATGGCATGTGCTTTGAACTCAAACCTCTAAATAGTTTCTTCAGATTTATTAGTTCCATTTTTTTTCATTTTTACTTTTTTTTTTTTTTTTTAGCTGAGCCATCCTGCTACCTATTGGCAGCTCAGCGGCTGCTCAGCTCGGGCTGGACTCGAACCGCCGTTGCTCAGAGCTCAAACTCTTGAGCGAGCTCTTAACCAACTGAGCCACTCGGCCGGCCCCCATTTTTACTTTTTAATGCTCAAATTTTGTTAACAACACATCTTGTTCAACATGACAATCGAAATGCCCAAAGAAGGAGCCCCTGTGAGACAGGAGCCTGGCACCATCATCCCCATCACGAGCATCGTGGCGAAAGTCCCTGGTGCTGCCTATGTGTGAGAGGATCTACCAGTCAGTTCATTTCATTAAATTCTCTGCCACATTGGGAGGTTTAGTTTGTTGCACTAGTATACAGACCAGGAGACAGCAGCCTAGAGACTATTCTAGGCTTCTCTTGTGGGAAATTCTTGATAATCAAAGAACTTAGTCCACTCAGTATGTATGTGTAGATAACAGATCCTGTAAATTATATGTGAAACTCCAAAACCTTCATCACTATGGGACATAATTTATAGTTTATCTAATCTAGTGTATGTGGACTTAATTTATATTAGTTTAATAGTATTTCTTGAAAAATATACCTTTTTGTCTCAGTTTTGTTTTAAAACCTAATTTAAAATTCTCTAACTTGAGCTCTCAAATTTGAAAGTTCTGGGGATTTAGAAATGCATGAGATTTAAAATTCACCTGGTCCAATCAGTTCATTTTATAAATGAACCAAGGCCTGAGAGATCCACTGATTTGCTCAAGATCAGACCACCTGATAGAGGAAGAGCTAGAAGTAGTGACCGAGTCTTCAGATTTTCCATTCAGTGCTTTTGCCATGATGTTGTATATAATCCTTTAAAATTATATACAATTAGTATACTATATCCTTTTTTTAATAATTAGTATATTACATTCTTTTTTTTACTATATGTGTTTCATCAGGGAAAAAAATCTGTAAATAAGAGAAGTGTCATTGATGTCATTTTATTCCATTTATCTCCATTACCAGTTTTAATCTACATATACTTTATAGAGAAATGGGCAGTAGTTGTAAGTTTTTATAACACAGCTTTAAATGAAACTGTGTCTGTAGGTAGAGGTTTACAGAAGTAACCCCGCCGTTCAAAATAGAAAAATGGATAAACTGGACTGCTTTTTGTTCAGCAACTTTTTTTGCTAGGCAGGTCTAATCTGGATGTTTAAGCTACCTTGGAATTGAATAAATCATTTTCCATTATAATCGATCAAAGAAAGACTCATTTGACCCCTCACTGCTCTGTGAACACCCTGTCTTTCTCCTAGGAGTGAAGTGCAACCAGTGGTCGGAGGAGGCTTCGATGGTGTTTCGAAATCATGTGGAGAAGAAGCCTCTGGTGGCATTGGTGCAGACAGTTTTAGAAAATGCTAACCCTTGGGACCAGAAAGCAGTGGTCTATTTAGTGGACACATCGTTGCCAGACACAGATATCTGGATTCATGATTTTATGTCAGAGTATCTGGTAGAGCTTTCAAAAGTTAATTAATCACTGCTTTTGAGACCTTGACAACTAATTCAGATTTTTTTAGCAATAACACAATGTAGTAGGTTTTTAAAAAAAATCTTAACTCTGCTACATGGCTCTGACTGCTGTGGGGGATCAAAAAGAATATGCTGTTTGATGAAAGATATTTAACAAGTTTTGTTTAACAGAGTTGACTTTTCAAAGAAAATTGCACTTGAATTATTACTATATTAGAATAAAAATGTTTATCAATATAAAAACTGACTACCTCATAATTTCTGGGATTTATGATCTTAAGATGAAAAGTTTCCCTTTCTATTTCCTTGTGGTGCTGGGTTCTTCTCCAGTTAGACTGAGAATTTCATGACTGAACTCTACCCTGATGTAGTGGTGTGTCCCAAAGTCACCAAACGGTGTGAAGACTATCCGGAGTCTCTAGAACATCAGCATTGCTAGGGGTGCTATTGGAGGAACGGCCAAGCACACCAGCAGGACCCTCACCCCAAATTTTGAGTGGCTTCCATTGAAGACCCAGGCCTTCTACCATCTCCCTCCCCAACCTCATTGCCCATCATTCTGTGCACCAGCCACACTGGACCTGATCTTGTCCCTGAACCCCATGCGTGTTCATCCAGGGTTACTGGTATTCTAAAGCAAGCCATGCTCCTCCCCTCCAAACTATCCACTGATGGACCCATACATGTTTGGTAACTGGGTCTGTTGTGTGGGGGTGGGGTGGAATGAGCCTTGAATTGTAGTGTCTGACGATTCCTGTGTTGTAAACTCCAACCATTGTTGAGGTCCAGCTAACAATGTGACATCACTGAATGCGGAGTTGGGAGGAGATGCACCCAGGCGGCTCTCGTGAGCCTGTACACCACTGTCTGTATCCTCCACGACAGACAGAATGATACCTTACACATATCAGACACCCATTATGTGCTTGCTAATTGATGGGCAGGGTGGACTGACAGAGGGACAGGGTGGAGGGCTTAGCAGTGGCTGAAAGATGAGGAGGGTAGGCCCTGGACAAAGAGTGGAACAGGGAGAATGAAGAAAAAATATTAAGGGCTTTCTGAAGTGTTTAATTAGAATGATGAGAACTGACATCTTAGATACAGAAGATAAGGAAAAGGAGACTGTCAAAGAATAAAGCCAAGTCTTAAGGTCTGAGAGGCTAGGATGATGAGCCTACGCAGTCTGTCTGGGAAGCTTAAAGTTTTGCTTTTGAACATACTGAATTTAAGCTAATAGACCTCTGTGGGAAGACATACATAAACTACTGGAAATATGGAGTGGATTTCAGGGGAGAAGACCAGGCGAAAGATAAAATTCTCGAAGTCATTTGCTTATTTTTATTTGAGAAAATCTAGGAAAAGTGAGAACTGAAAGAAGAAGGTAAAGACCAGATGTTTTAAGTTTTTCATGTAAAACATGTTAAAATTATCTTTCTAGCTTTTAAAATGTTATACTTAATATTTAAAATGATTCAAAATTTAGGAATACCTCTGCTAGTGATTTAAATAATTATGATAAAAAAATTTTAAATCCTGAAACATAAATGTTTACGTGAAATAAAATAGTGTAGATGTTTTTTATAATGGTTTCTTTCCCTAAAAAAAAAAATCCTCAAGTTATCTACAGATAAGGAATTCAGTAGTTTCTATTTCACTGACTTTAGAAGTGCTTCTATTACTTTTAAAAATAAAGCAATTAATTTTGTTGCTGTAACTGAAAAAATCAAACTGGTGCTAGGGCAATTTGACAGACAAACAAATGAAACTTGGCCCCTACCTCATACCATATTCAAAAGTCAATTCCAGGTGGATCGAAAGCTTAATTGTGAAAGACTAATGTAGGAAGATAACAGAGGAAAATACTTTTATAATCCAGGAGTAGGAAAGATGTCTTAAACAGGACAAAGTGCTAACAATAAAGGAAAAGATTGACAGACTAGACTCTATGAAAATGAAGAACACCTGTTTCTCAAAGACATTATGAAGGTGAAAAGGCAAAGCAGAGGGCAGGAATACATAAATACAGAGTGGGAAAATATATTGACTATATTCAATAAGCAAAAGAAGCAAAATGGACAATACGTTTGAACAAACACTTCACAAAAGAGAAAAATGCAACTGGCCAACAAACATGAAAAGGTACTCAACCCATCAGGACACAGGGAACTCAGAGAAGTGCCATGACTCATGTACCAGAAAGGCAAAAATGCTTCCATTTCTGTTAATTCCAAGTGTTGAGGTGTGTGCACTTCTGTAGGAAGATAGTGGTAAAGACTGTTCACAGCAGCACTATTTGTATTAGCTAAAACCTGGGAACAACCTAAATGTCCATTTTTAATAGTAAAATGGATTTTTTAATTAAATTATTTTTTATTATGAAATACACATTTTTAGAATTAGTTTCAGCTGTACAACACAGTGCACTAGTTATACTTTTTAGCCCTTGAAGTGACAACCCCCCTCCCCCAATCTGCGGCCCCATTTCCCCCCAATATCATACATACCTATTACAAATCTCTTAACTCTACTCCCACACTATACTCCACGTCCCATGACTATATATATGTGTCCCATGAATATATATATATATATATATATTCACTTATAGTTGACATACAATATTATACAACATCAGCTTCAGGTGTACAGTGCAGTGATCAAGCCTCTTCCCCATCCATGATGCAAGACGTGACCACCATAAAATGGATTTTTAAAAACTGGTACATTCATACAATGGAAACCTCTACAGCAATGAGAGGAAACTACAATCACATGAAAACTACACGGATTCATCTCACAACATAGAGTGGAGCAAATGAAGATGGATGATGAAAGAAAGAGGCAAGCAACGACGTGATGACCATAAAAGTCAAGAAAGGGGTCATCTTTAGGATTTGTGGCTGGAAGGTTACAAGTCGGCTTCTGGGCTGCTTGACTGTTGTTTCTGGATGGAGTGGGGGTCACAGGTGTTCTCAAGATAGAAATTCTTGAGCCTTCACACCTGTGTTGTATGCACTTTTCTTAAATGTTAGATTCCGCAACAAAAGTGTTTAAAATAAAAAATCTAAAATGTTAAATTGTTGCTTTATTTTTAAATATATGGCATCTAGCCCTTGAAAAGAGCATTCTCTTACAGATGTGAGGGTTTTGTAATGCAGAAATAGATTTTTGTGGAAAATGAGATTTAAAAAAACATGAGTTCATATTTCTCATTAGTAATCTATACAAAAGGATGAAAAAGAGCTGATATTATTCATCCCTATCAGAAGCTTTCCCATAATAAGAAGACCTTACCGGCTGTCCATACAAATTCCTTTGTATGAGCTATTTTTAAACTTAAAACACTTAAAGTTTGGGTTTTTAAGTGGTTCGTTCTGGAAAACATATTAGCCTTTTAAGAAAGTAGGACCTTTTTTTGTTTTTGTTTTTTTAATCATTATTTTGGACACTCCATTCTCTCTTAGTATAGGGACAATGCATTGGACGCTGTTAGAACTATGTTCACAAAATGATCATTATTAAAGCCGGCGCATACCGGACCTCGCTGAGCTGCTGGTTAGTTGGAGAGATCCTTGCTTCAATCAAAGGAGGTAAAGGTGCAGCAGCAGCTTGGCTGGTTTTGCACCATCCAAGGAACGGCCGTTCCTCGCGCCTTACACCTCGCAGGAATGAAAATCCGCCCACCTTTTCCCAGATAACTCTACCATCGCTTCAACTCCTCCTGGTACAAGTAGGGAACCCGAGACTCAGACTGGAGCGACCGGCACCTACTTGTCCGTGGAGCCAAGCTTCGGGGAGGCCCAGCCCCTGCCCCGCGCTGCCCACCGCGGGTGTCTCTCCCCGGCCAGGGACCGTGCGCTGCGCCTCGGCGCCCCCGAGTGGAGGGAGAGGTAAGGAGGGCTGGGCGGGGCGCGGTGACAGCGCGGAGCGGGGCCCGCCCCTGGCTCCCACCCCCGGATCCCGCTGCGCCAGCCCGCCTGCGGCCGCACGGGAGCCCATCCAGCCCCGCGCTCCGCTCGCCCGCTCGCCAGCCCGCTGCCCGCTGCCCGCCGCCTGCGCCAGTCTGCCGGCCGCCCGCGCTCGCCCTGCCGCCGCCTGCGCCTGCGCCAGCCCCCGCGGCTCTCCCGTCTGGTAAGCCCCCCACCCGACCAGGGGTCTCCCTCGCACTCGCGGGGCTCCCTGCCCCCGCGCCGGGGCCCCAGCCATATCTGGGCAAAATATTCAGCTGTCGCCGCCGCCGCCAAGAGGGACTGAGCGTGGCTTCCTCTATAAATAGCTGCCGCCTCGGGTTGCCTCCCGGGCTGGGGAGCCAGGTCTAGGGGTCCGGAGTCCGACGCTCCCGAACGGGCCGCGCTCGGCGCGCGTGGTCCTGGCTAGGGCACCCTCCTCTCTCTACCTTAGCAAACAGGAGAAGAACCTGGGGGCCGCCGAAGAGCAGCGCGGGGGGCCGGGGTTCTCCCCGACTAGACCCCAGCGTGGCGGGGCTCCGCGCCCCGGGCGCTCCTCTGGGTGCAGGTGCCCACCGGAGCCCCGCACCGAGGCGCGGCCGCCCCTCCTGCTGCCCAGAATTTGAGGATGGGAGTGGGGATGTACGTGCTCGGGTGGGCGTGGAACTGGGGTTCGAGCTGCGCCTGTTGGTGGCAGGAAAAGTTTCCCAGACTGCGGGAGATGACGAGGTTTCAAGTACCACGATGCGCGCGGTGGATCGGAAAGGAGCCTGGAGGCAGAGGCGCTTTGGCTGCCGCCAGTCAAGTATGGCCTTGGCAAAAGCCCCCTCTGTCCTCTGGGACTCTGTTTCTCCATTTGCGGGGGGCGGTATGTGGTTCCCGCGATGGAGCCAGGAGCTAGAGCCATGACAGTAGTAGCAGGGCGCGCTCTTGACCGCTGGCGCTCCCCACACCTGTTCACCGGCTCCGGCCCGAGACACTGGGGCTCAGCCGAGCACATCCGGAGGGGTTGCGGAAACCGGACACTGTCAGTTCCTCTGACTCGGGTCGTATTTTGGGACCTACTAGCACCCTCGGAATAGCCTGGGCCATCTGTCCCCGGGGAAACGCGCCCAACGGTAATTATGGGCTGCTCTCCTGGGTAGCAACCATCGTCTTCGCAAAGCACTGCCTGTGACTCAAACAGCTTTAGACCCAAACGACTGAGCAGGGCCAGAGGCCCCAGTCCAGCCACTCCCTGGCCTCAGTTTCCCTGCCCATACGATGCCTGTGATGCTGCCTCAGAGCCCTGCAGGCACCCCTCCCCCCATCACCACTACTTCTGCTTTTACTGACCCTGCACTTGGCTACCACCTTCACCCTCAGAATCTTGGAGATGGCCAGGCCCAAGCTTTTTCACGGCCAAATCACAGAACCAGATCCTAACCCAGGTTCTCAGCCCTTAGTGGGAGCACTCCCCAAATCCCCATCTTTGTCCCAGTGGTGACAGCCATTTCGTTCTTCATAAAGGGCCACAGAGCCCCCTGCTCAAGGTCACACGCTGCTGGATATGCCAGGAGGTCTGCGGCCTCCACCAGCCTTCCTCTTCTCTTTCCTGACCCTTTCTACCACTGAGGCAGGTCTTGGGGATCTGTGAGCACCCCACCAATGCTCCTTCTTCTTTGATCTGCTGCTGTCCAGGACTTTCCCTTGCTCAGACAATAGGACCCTCATCCCAAAGTTCCATTTTTGTTTCCACTTTACTTTATATATTTTATGTTTTTATTTATATTATTATATTTTCTCTATTATATATTTTATATATTGTTTTTCTCTAACACCACCTCAAAGCCTCACAGATAGAATTAAAAGAAAATGGAGACAAACAGGTTCTCATCAATTCGACCCACATTAACAGGCAAAGAATGAAAGCAAGGAACACCCTTATTTCGGTGTGTTGGTTCTCTTTAATGAGCCAGTCCTGCAAACCCACATTTTAGAAGGTCTTGGCCCTTGGGTTCCTCCTAGTTTAAGTGGAAAGCCAGTGTCCTCTAAAAATAACCTCCTCCCACCTTATCAGCCTCTCATACCTTGTCCCTCCTCCAGGGTAGGGCTGATTCACGCTCAGCAAAAACACAAAAACAGGGAGTAGGTAGTGGCAGCTCTGAGTAACAAAAGATGGGCTTGCCTAGGGGTATGATCCTCTGCCACCCACTTAGAGTGACCTTGAGCAATAAAGAGGTGGCAGGATGGTCTCTGGTGGATCTGGAATCAAAAAGGCTTGGAGTTTCCTGGAAGACTTTCTAGCATGAGAAAAGTGAAGTGCCAGGATGAAATCTGGGGTAACCCATTCTGTGAAGAGGAGGGAAAGAGTGGGAGAAAGTGGCTGCCCAAGAGGCGAGGGAGGAGAGAGGTTGATAGTGCTAGTTGCTGCGCAAACACAGAAGGGATGAGGACCAGGAAGGGGCCACCAGGACTGGCAGGGAGTCATGAGTGAGTTTGGCTGGGGCATTGCAGAGGGTTCAAAAATGAGATCTGCTGCTGCCTTACTGGGGTTATGAGCCCACCTGTCCATCTGAGCCTCAGTTTCCTCCTCTGTACAATGGGATCATAGTAGCGCCCCTTTCGTAGGGGTTGCTGTGGGGATTAAGGGTGATGAGGCAGGGAGCGCCCTCAGCCCACTACTTGGTACCCGCAGTGGTATGACTAGTGTTGGTGAGGGGAAGAGTCAGAGCCTAAGGGAGCTGAAGAACTAGAGACAGCCCACAGCTCTTTCTAAACGCTTGGATGAAAAATGAAGGGAGAGGGAAGGTAGTAGGAGCTAGAGACAGGGCAGAGAGGGGAGGCAGGTGCTTCTGGGACAAGGAATGTGAGAAGAGGCAGAGAAGGACCAGGAGAGGGGAAAAGAGAATCTAAGAGGTGTGACATGCGCGGACTGAGGGGCTTCCTTAATGACCTGCTGAATGTCACAGGCTCTCGAATCAGGCTCTACAATCACATTCCTCTAGAATCAGGCTAAGCAAAGAAAGGGTAAAATGAAGCCGTTCCTGGCTCAGATCCTGTGTCCCCTTGGCAGACGTCAGTATCTGCAAAGTAAGGTAGTGATGGGCCATAAAGGGCAGTTTTGACTGCCCAGGGGCCTCGTGACCTTGGCTGGCTTATTTCTGAAATGACATCATCTATCAATGACTCCTGCTGAGCCAAGTCATAATGGCTTTTTCCAGTCAATGTTTTGTATTTTCAGTCTTACTAATGGACCAGTCAGGCTGCCAACATTTCTAAAGAGGCCAGTTCACTTTTTGCTTAAATCCAGAACACCAAATAGATCAATTATTTGGCTGGTAGAAGCCATTATCAGTTTAAAACCAAAGACCTGTTTCTACAGGAAAAAAAATACATGGATCAGATGCCATAATTCTAGAATCATTTCTTCTCTTTTGTTTTGTTTTGTAAAATCCTCCTTTGGTTAATCATAATTTTTGCTCTTCATGATAATGAAAGAATGAGCTCATTTGGAGTCAACCTAGGACATGTCTGGGAGGTTTCCTTAGATATTAGGAGGTGCTGGGTCCTTGTCTGATCGGAAAAACTAAACAAGCTCAAGCATTTCTTTTGTTTCTCCTTTTCTTACATCCTTTTTTTTTCTCAGAGAAAAACAGATTTGTGAAAGAGCTAGACATTACTGTGCATGAGGAGGAAAGTGGGAGGCAGAGGGAGGCAAGTCTGGCACACGTGTCCCTGTCTCAGTTCTTCTCAAGGCCACCACTCGCTCTGGGGTTTCTGGGGCAGTGACCCCCAGGGCCATTTCTGGAGATGATTCTGGTGGGTGATGAGTTGTATCCAGTGGGGTGCTCACCCCCGTGTCCATGGGAACCAAGAGAAGCAGAACTGCCTCTTGGTCTCCCTCAGCCCCCTTCAGGGACTCATCTCTTTTGCCCATCCTAAAATGATGGTGCCACTCTCAACCCTATTCCCTCTTCACCCCACACCCCCCCAACAATCTCATTCACTCCCATGGTTCCACCCACCCCCATAAACTCACGACTCTCAAATTCATGCCTCCATCTTGGACTGCTCTCTCCCTGCCAATTGGGCAAAGCCAACAAAGCATCCCAAAGGTACTTTACAACCAGCAGGCCCAGACTCAGGCTCATCACCCAGCCCTCCACTATCCTCCATCTTGGTTAGCAGTAACACCATCCACCCAGGCACCGAGCTAGAAACCTCCTTTCCCTATCCACCCCATTCATTTTGTTAAGAGTCCTGCAAATTCTACCTTCCTCAATATCTCTTCTATTCATGTCTACCCCCACAATCACTACCCCAATTCCTTATTTGGCCATCTCTCCCCTGAGCTATTGTCAGAGCCTCTTTAAAGTCTTTCTGCTCAAGTCTTTTCTTCTTCTATGTTGCTGTTAAAAGATCTTTGTGAAATGTAGCTCTGACTGTGTTATTCCTCTCCCTTCAGGGACTTCCCGTTTCCTACCAGATTCCTTAGCATCGGACATCAGGACCACCTAAGATCTGGCCCCCAGCCACTTCTCCAAACCCATCTCTTGGCATTCCCACAAACTCTCCTTGCCTTCTGGTCATGATGCATACATGCCTTCATGCCTCCCTGCCTTTGCTCTGCGGTTTCTCTGCCTGGAATGCTGTTCTCTCCCTTCTCAACATAGTGAACTTGTAATCATCCTTTAAAGCAGCGGTTCTCAACCTGTGGGTCGTGACCCCTTTGGGGGTCGAATGACCCTTTCACAGGGGTCGCCTAAGACCATCGGAAAACAAAAAGCTATTTACATTACGATTCATAACAGTAGCAAAATGACAGTTATAGAGTAGCAACAAAAATAATTTTATGGTTGGGGGTCACCACAACATGAGGAACTGTATTAAGAGGTCGGAGCATTAGGAAGGTTGAGAACCGCTGCTTTAAAGCAAAGTTCCTCATTGCCTCACCTGTGCTT